AACAAACACCACAATTTAGGTGTCTGTAAAGGAGGGGCTAGGTTTGTTCGTTTAAACCAATTTTACTCCCACCCTGCCAGTCTGTGTCCAAAGCTGGAAGTCGTGGCCGGGCAGGCAAGCAGGACCGCTTTTGCATGATGACCGTTGGAGCACGGTATTGTTTAAACTGGCTCCTGGGACACCCGGTGGACGCCGTTTTTGCGCAGATGGCGCAGCTACCCACGCTGCGCCACCTTAGCGCCAAGGGCCTGAAAGCACACTCGTGCTTCGCAAAGCAGCTGAGAAGGTATGGCAAAGATGTGCCGGAGCTGCGTGGGTTGCGACGCAGATGCTCCGGGTGTGAGGTTGCGAAAGTGCTGCGCCTGCCACGGCATGATTTTTTGATCCCTGACCAGTTTTTGTTGATGCTCTGACTTTTCATTCTAGTAGTAAGTCTAGAGAAGAAGTTTTTTTTGACCCCTAGCCAGTTTTGTTGATCTTCAGGAATAAGTTTTTTGATGCCTAAAAAGTTTTTCTAACCCCTTACCCGGTTTAAGAACCCGTCAAATCCTTGAAGACAAAGCACATGTCCAGGGTTATTCCGGATCAGGCCCAGGACAACACACATGATCATCTTCTTGACAGGCACCTTGTTGGTTGTGATCAGTGTTCTGCCACTCGGTTGATCGTACTTCTCTTCATCATCGTCGAAGGTATAGGAACAGTGAAAAGCACGGAAGATGTTGTCGTAGCTCATGGAAGCGGAAATCTCGAATATTTCCGTGGAGGATATAGTCTGTCATGTCGACGAAATGATTGTGGATTCTGCCTCTCTTTTCCCGATGGCTTCCCGGAGTTACGTATCCTTCCTTGTGGTGATTCGCTTCGCCCCGACCGTGGAAACGTGGGCAAGTATGCTTGCCGCGAACTCTTTTTCACTGAGCGAGTTTTCGGTCGTCCGAATGTCTTGTCCGAGGTCCGGAATGGTTCTGTGTGGCTGCGAAGGTTTCGGCATTGACTTGCTCTTCGGCTTGCCTTCTAGTGCTTCCTTGTACGTAAATCCGCGTTCTTCGGCTTCATCCTTAGGTGGATGCGGTGCCTTGTTTGGTGTCCTCTGCGAGGATGTCGTTCTTACTGGTTCTCGTTGCCAAATCCCGGGCGCGTCGTCATGAGAATCTTGTTCGGTATATTGCGTCTGCCCGGAGATTGGTGCGAAGTAGATCTGTTGGACTTCTTTGTCCTGGGTCGCACCTTTTCGACAATTTCTTCCCGTGATCCATTTTCCGGAACTCTGTCTCGAGGTTCACCTCTGTATGTAATGGCCATGTCCGCCTCTTAGAGACGTCAAAGATGGATGCCGTGAGGAGAAGACCATAGCCGCACTATGACTGGTATCCAGCCGTATGCTTCTGTCATTTTCTCGTTTGAGAGGTTTGTGCCTGCTGGTTTCATCTGGATCTTCTCCTGAAGGAATAGGACCAACCCACATCTTTTTCTCATTGGCCTGGAGGAGTTTTGCTGTTGCCTTCACATTATGATGTGTCATAGACATATCAACATGGGCTTGGTAATTGTAGAACAATCTGCATGTGCCATGATGTCTTTGATGGATCGCGCGCACTGAGGATATCCTTGTCTCCAACATGGTCCCAGACCTTGAAGAGTTGTAGACCGTGGATACCCTGATCCTGATTGTAGTAGCCGCGTTGGGTGTGGAAGATATTGAAAGTTCGGTCGGACATCAGTTATGAAATGACATTTGTGGTAGAACCAGGAGATTGCTGTAGAAAAAGAATCTGCGTACGTCGCAAACGGGTGTCTTTGCGGAAGCTGATCTGGCTGAAGTTGTTCTGGATCTTCTTCCTGCAGATCGTCGGATTCTGCGTCGCCTCCATAGTCTGGTTCTTCATCATGGGATTCTCTCGATAACAATTTGACAAAATCTTCGTGTTGCTCTTCCTCGGAATTTATGTCACCCTTCGGCTTCTTAGGAGAAGCTGTTGGTCCTCCTGGATCTTACGTGTCGTCATCCTCCTCGATTACTGACTTTTCCTCTTCCGACTTCTCTGCTTCCATCTGCTTCCATCAGAGGATCTGGGTCTTGAGGTATGTTCTCCTGCGTCCTTCGTCTTCCAGAAATTTCGCCACATGCCGCGAGCTTGTAACACGAAGGTCAAGCACGCTTGGAAGTAAATGGCTGCGGGAGCAGACACAAATTTCTTGAGTCAACGCTTCTGACAAGGTTCTTGAGGTTCCTACAGTTGCAAGGAAATCAAAGCGGCTCATGGTTCTTCACTGCCATCATCACTGGATATCCGCTTCGGTGAATGCCCGAAACGGTGTACTTCATATGATGTATTATTTTCACTACGAAAGTGTGCAATAGGTAGGTCAATGCGTGGGAAACAAAAAATATAAAACCAATTCATAGATAGATGGGATAGATTGGTTTCATTGATTGACAGATAGGTGAAAGGGAGATAGTCGGTCGACACGGTTGCAGAAAATCAAACTTGGAGGCTCTCCGGTAAGGACCCCCCTAATAACTTGAGAGGGCAAGTGTTGTAGGGGCAAGCGACAGGTGTCCTTTCTTGGTTTTTTGAGAAGGGTGGCTGGGGCACTGGTGCGAAAATGGGAAGCAAAAGGGGAAACTTTCAATCAGGGAGATTTACAGGTAAATAGATAGGTAGGGACACACACACAGACAGACATGCCATGGTAGCTTTGGGCAATTATTTGCATTCGGGTTCGTGGCTTTGATCAGGTGTTTTCCAAAACTCGCTGGGTAGAATCGTTGAGCGGTTGAGCGGTCGGATCAATGTGCTGGAGGAGGCAGTTTGGTGCCATATCACTCCAAATGCTGCTGTTCACGAGATCTTTTTTCGTCCGTTTAACCAGCACGACGTCAGGGAAGCCTTTGGCTACTGGGAGGAGCCAGGCTTCCGCGCGGACGACCGTGATTCGCTTGACTTGTTTGCGGCGTTGGAAATCGCATTCTGTGACCAGCAATTGAGGCTTGTGGGCAAATGCCTTGAGGTGCTGGAACGGGAGTGAGAGGGTTTCGTGCCGATCCAAGATCATTGGCTGGATGATCTTGCTGTTTGTTGAGCGCGTGGGCAAAACCGGCGTGCAGGCAACTTGACGTGTGTCTTGTTTCCTGCCCAGGCTGTGAAGGTGGAGCTTGCAGCTGGCTGTAAATTGCGGTTTGCGCATGGCCCAGCAAGAGTGAGGTCATGTCAATCCCTCAGACCCCCCAGCCAGGCCAATCTGCACCGCCCAGGCTTCAGACAACGAGAACTTGGACAGGTGCGACACTTGAAGAAACCCTTCCCAATTGCATTCCAATCTGTAGTCTGGACGCCAGCGTCTCGCCAGCAAAGCTAGTGGAAGCTCCTGCTTGGCCTGCTGAGCTACTTTGCTTCGCGATGGACTCTTTCCAGACTTGATCTGCGTTCTGGCATCTTCGGGCAGCATTTGGTGTAGCGTTCAGAGATTTGTCATGCAATGCGGGAGAAAACACCATGCCTTAGATATCCAGCCTTACAGAGTTGTTCAATTAAGCCTTGCGATTTCTTGCCTGGTTGAACGCACAACGTCGAGGCGTTTCTCTCCGTCGCTCACATGCAGTGCATTGCTGATGTGATTGTGCATTCGTAGGCGACGACTTGTGATCTAGACTGGCACTTGACGAATGAGCTTACTGAGAAAAGAGAGTCATGTCATGTCGCTTTTGCACCTTGTGCTTCCAAGGCAGTTCATGGACTGGATGGGGGCTGTCATTCTGGAAGGGATTTGAGCCTTAATGCCAACAATGAACCAAAGCAGCCTTGGCTGACAAGATCAACAAAAGCAGCTCACCTTCCTTAGCGGCTTGACGACAGCCGCTGGTCGGAGAAGTGGGCCAAGACACGGTCATTGGACTCATCTCTCCATTCTGACCGACACTGTCGGTATGCGTGACGTGGAAGGCAATTGCTGCAGGGCTACTCATTCAGCAGAGGGATGCTCGCTTGATCTCTGTTGTGTTTGCCGCCTGTGAATGACAGGGCCGCGCAATGCGTCACAGCAAGTCTCAACCGCCCCAAATCAAGGATAGTTCTGGCCAGCCCATAAGTGTGCATCGAGGTAAGTCGGATCGGGCATCATGGGTGCTGCGGCTCCTTGCGGCAGACCCTGCATCATAGCTGCTACCTCAGCAATTAAGTAATTACGCTGATCGCGCGTTCTTTGATTCGAGGTATTGGGACTTGTTTCGGTGAATCTGGGGGCTGTATCTTCCCAGATGCTCTATGTTTTCGCAGGAGAATCTCGAATTTAGTGCTAAAGGTCACGAATTCATTGTTACCTTGGCGATGATTGAAGAAACTGAGGAATCTGTCAAGGAATGCAGTCTGTGTGCCCTTCAAGAAGTATCCGCAAGGGAAGTTGGGAAAGTACTCCACTCCGTGTGCTGGATCTATGAGTTTCTCATTGTCCAGCAGTTCACGGTGTATTGCTTGCATCCTCGACGAGCCTGTTCTTGAGAAGCGGACCTTGTTGCGCGGATTCTATAACTGTAAATGTAATCCAATCCCGTACCAAATGTTCATACCGAAGCCAACTAACACGGCCGTCGTACGAGGGTCTCTTCGCGGGAACTCACGCCGTTATGACGGCTTCCAAGGAAAGCCGTGGCGGGTGGTTCTGCTCCATAGAAGTCCTCTTCACTCGACATCCTGCTTTCGGAGAACCTGCTCCTCCACCACAATTGAGGTTGCAAACAGGGGTTCCCAAGCGGCCCCGGAATACACCTTGTAGGTCCCTGGTATGGATCTAAGAAAGTAAATATGTTGAAGAGGTATCTGACCAAATGGAATGTTTGGTTGCAATAGGAACAAGTGTAAACTGTACCACGGTCAGCAAAGCGGGCTTTTTCTCTATGAGCTAGAGATCGCAAAAGCCACCGAAACGGCGATGAGATTGCTGCACGAGAAACACGCCCCCCCCCCCGCCCCTTCCCATTTTCAGACATTTTCGCTCAGGGCAGGCCCATCCCATCACAGCTGCCAGAGCCTTTGCTGGCAGCGGGCTCAGAGTGGGCGTTGTGGGTTGTTGTCGGCGGGAAGATGGAATCAAGGAAGGGATTCAATCTACCTGATGTGTTCTTTGCAGATGGAAAAGCTGACGCAGATGATTATGGCGTTCCTTCTCGAACTTGGATTTGCAGCAGCAGGTGTTCAGCGAGCCTGGCTGATCGCACGCATCAGTTCTCCAAAAGCGGAGGAACACACAGATGCATTGTTTTGGCCATAGGTGGGGAAACTCTTGGGGGCGTATCCGCACGTTGTTCCTGGAACTCTTGCTAGCCCAGGGTTCTTTAGGTTCGATGCCTTTCAACGACCGCTTTTGGTCAGGCCGGTTGCGGTAAAATGATTAATGACGTTGCACTGGCCAAGGGGCAAGTATTCGGTCACATTTCTGCGACGAAGTCTTTCTGCCCAGGCAACTTTTGGACTGGCCAGTTGCTGTCCGCGCAGCCTGAGGCGCTATCGCAGCAATCCAGCGGTGATGGAGAATGGCATGTCAAGACGGAGGCCGCATGCAGCCGGGCTACACGTCGGTTGTGCGTGTGTTTTCGCGGTGGGTGTGTTGTGATGTGTTTGTTCGTGCACCGTTGCCATTGATTGTGTAATAGTCCAAACATAGTTTTTTTTGGCTACCCTGGTTTCACAGACCCATAAACACGATCCGATAGGAGCCGATGCATTGTTTGCTTGAAGCAAGAGCCATTCCAATAGATCATGGGTAGTGTTAAATTGAATTCCTTGTTGCTGGCGGCTGCACAGCAACCTGGTTGTGAATAGAACCATTCAAACTTCAATCAATCAATCAAGCATCAAGCACATATTTGTAGGTCCCGCTTGAAGATGGTTTTCCTTTTGGAAGGGGATGGTTCCGCAGCATTTCTGACGTTGTGGCAAGGTATATTTGCGCAACGACCATACTCATACTACGGGCTATTCGCGTGTTTATGGAATGGCGCCCATCTTTGCATGAGATCATGGCTTGCACCTGACTACTGTCTGGGAACCCTGATAAATTTTCCATGAAGCGGATATAGGCTTTCAGCGTGTCAGTGAGACACGTGAGCAAATGCGACAAGGCTTGGGACCTCACCGTTCTCGTCCCTTACAGGTTGGTGAACAATTCGAGACCCAATCCCATCCGATTTGAGCTGTAGAGCGTGACCATTCTTGCGCAAATGTAAGATAAAGGTTTCTTTCTTAGGTTCATTCCTTATTTAGCATTGGTGAATAGCTATAATTTTCTCCCGACATTTGCACTTTGCTTTAGCACGACACCCGGACGTGAGCATTTGCATCCGTGTTCAGAGGAGCTGGAGCAGTACTGGCAGACCTTCCAGCAACTGGACACACAGCGGAAAGGCGACCATGGGCATGCGAGCCACAGTCATTGCAGAGCAGGTTGTTTACGTCGTGCTTACTTGGTGGGTTGGTTTGGTTCGTTATATAGTCGGCCGGCTGGCTGGCTGGCTGGTTGGTTGGTTGGTTGGTTGGTTGGTTGGTTGGTTGGTTGGTTGGTTGGTTGGTTGGTTGGTTGGTTGGTTGGTTGGTTGGTTGGTTGGTGGCTTGTTTGTTTGCTCGGTTGGTCATGTTTGAGAGGCTGCTGCTGCGGATGATGCTCGCCATTGCAACAGGCATCCTTCTCATTCATGACTGCGGCAAGGGGACTGTGCCTTTCGCCGTTGAAAAGGGGACTTCTAGCATGGGCTTTGAGGACCTGCGGCAAGGAAGTATGATCGATTCCCATATTCCGCGCATTTGCAAGAGCATGGATTTTAATGCTCATGAAGATGAACGGTGTTACTGTCGACAAATTAAATTTCAGCAGTGCGAGCATGTTTGTCATTTGTGCCATTATTGCGTGGGAACCAGTCCGCAGCCAGAACATCCAAAGAACCACGGCCTAATAATTGATTTTCATGTTTGGTGTCCTGCAAAAGCACCGGTGGACCTCATGGCACCATCAGGCATCATCGGTGCGGCAGAAGGGTGCCCGCCTTAGCATATTAGAAGGCTTAGACTTGTTAGGTGTATGTGTAGTTTTCTGTTTCAGCCCGTTCAAAGTAGGGTCCTGACGGGCAGAACGCTCCCTTGTGTTGATATTTACATACTCATCGACGGTGCTCTTGGCAGCTTGGGCAGGAGAAAGGTTGGCGTCGCCACAAAGCGTTTGGGAAACAGCAATAAGTATCATCCGTGATACATGCTGCATCCCGAGCCTTTTCTGACATTGACCCTTCAACCATAGTTTGGACGGCCGTGACGGTTTCTTTCGAAGGTCCCCATGATGATACAAGCGGAGCCGTGTGACCCTGCAAAAAAAACGCAACCTTGCATCTCCGTGCTCATTGTTTCTGCACTGAATATTAACCCCTTGTTTGGCATGTCGTTCTTGGGCAAACCAGTTGATGTTCTTTGACGGCTCCACGTGTAAAGTCGAAAGATCATTGCCAAAGAGACCGGTGTTGGTAGGGCCGTTCTTGTCCCTCCGATGACTGCTGAATGTTCAATGCTCGGATTCCGTTGCTTTTGTTGCTTGCGCTGTTTTGTTTGTGTTCTTGCCGGCTCAGGTTGCTCTGTCCTCATGACGGCACTGCCTATGGCAATCAGAGTAAGGGTTCCTCTTCAGGCAGTGCTACCACAGACGTTGTCAGCAGAGATTCGGCGCCCGTCGCCTGTGATTTTGGACATCGCATTGGCTCAGAGCGTGTTTTCTCCGCCTCTCCGCTTTGACCCCCTTTTTTCCAACTCATCCTCCCGGAGCCATGGCCGAGCTTAAGGCGGGGCGGAAAAGGGGGGGTGACAGGGAGGCCAAGGCAAGGAAGGGGTTTGGTATCGTAACCATTGATTTGAACATATCCCAACATGGGTGCGTATCCAAATTGGGGGAGGCACTCAAAGTCACTGGTTTCCCTTCGCAACACCCATATTTTCTCTCCTTCCCTTTAGCTGCCCGTGCCTTATTTCTGGCTGGGTCCAGGTGAGGCTTAGACTCAGGGATTTCCTAAAGGAGAACCACTGGTTTGCTCAAAAGGTCCTACTTCAGGAGAAGGGGGTAGGTGTCGCACAGAGGACATCTGCAATACCCCAACACCCCTTCTATATGACCTATAGGTGGGGCATGCCCATTTGTGGCATATGCAAGTTCCAGAAGGGCCTCAAAACTAGAATGGGTTGTGGTGTACTTTATAAACCCAACGTTAGTCCTGATCATCCAAGGAAGCTATTCGCAATTATTTCGGCCCTATTATAACTTTCATTAGGGCCTCAGATTTTCGTGCACTCAGGAAACACCTACCCGAAAACGGCAGCTGCCCTAAAAGCCCTGAAATTCCCTGGGACGGACCCCTGAAAAACCCCTCTGGGAACCCCATACCCCATGGGGACCGGAAACACAAGCCCGAAAACGGCAGCGGCCCTAAAGAGCCCTGAAACTTCCCTGCGGTGTCCGGTTTTTCCGGGGTTCCCGCCCGGGTCCCGATCGCTGACCCCATGCTGCGTGGCGCCTGGGAAGTTCTCGAGGCCGAGATCGAAGCGCTGGTGGGGAAGATCGGAGACAAGGCCGCGGGCCAGGCCTCCTTGGAGTCCCTGGCCGCCATCGCCCAGGCACGCGACGATCACGCGACGATGTGGACGACGTCTCGCTGTGGGGGGGGGATTCCGTGTGTGGTGTTCTTTATTCTTTTTTTTTTCAAGGGAAGTCCTTTTGTCGTAGAAGTCTATACTCCCCGAAAATGAAGGCTGTTTGAATCCCCTGGGAGAAAAAAGAAGCAAGCCTTGACACGGTCCGCTCGAAAGAAAGAGAGAGAGAGAGAGAGAGAGAGAGAGAGAGATAGAGAGTTTCAACGGTGAATCGACAATTTGTTGCTAGGGGAAGGGAGATTTCTGAAGAAGGTTATTTGCAGCTTTGGCAGGCGGAAAGGGAGCGATTAGTTGGGTGGTTTCTCAGAACGGGATTCGACCCCGCATTTTGGTTAGCATTTGAAGGGAGACAAAAGGCAACCCGCATTCTAGAGGGTGTAATCTACTTTTGTCAAGGGAACGAACGACATTGACTAGACTCACAACGAGCGACATTGAGTAGACTCACCAAATTACCACTAGGGAATGCACGAAAATTCAACATCTTTATTGGGGGACACCATGAATACATATTCAAAGTGGCTCACGTGTCTTTCTTCTGGACCTTGACTGTTGGGGGGAAGATCCGTTTCGGTGCTGGTTTCCCATAAGGGTTCTCTGTTTTGAGTGTGTCCCCTGTTTTCTTGCTGGGTTTGACCAGGAAACCAACAAGAAACCCGAAGCCCATTTTGGTGGGGTACCCGAAAAGACGACACGCACACACACACACATATATATATATATATAAAGCCATGCTTGGGTCTTTTTCTTGCTGGTGCTACAGGTATAGGGAGTAACCGAGACCGGGTTTTGGGGAATGAACCGTTTGGGGATTCCTTCAAAGGAAATCATACTGGTTTCTATGGGTCATTCCCTCATTCCCATGAACCGGAAGGGGATTCCCTTAAAGGAAGCAACAAATCGGGGATGGTTTGTTCTTGGGGTCATTCCGATTTCTAATTCTCTGCCTATGGAACCAACAAGTTCCCCAAACAGAGTGTCAACACTAAGGGAATCTTAGGGGAAGAGTACAGGGCCATCACCTGTTGTATGCTTAAGACATCATACTTCTCTATGTTTCTGCCTTCCCCAACACTCTTTGGGGTCTCTTGCCGGTGTCATTTGTTGCCATAGGATGGAGAGTTTATATTGGGGATTCCCTAAAAAAACAACCATCATCCGTTGGATGGTTTTTCTTGGCTCATTCCATGGTCTCATTCCCCGCCTATCGAGGCTCGTGGTTCGACCGGGCAGACCGGGCCGGGTTTCTATGGCTCAGGACAAGGGCCGTCCCGCGGAGCCCTTCTTGGTGGCCGCCTTCCCGAAGATCTTGGAGGCGCCGCTGCGGTTTTTCTGGGGTTCCGCCGGGCGAGGCAGCGGCCCATGGGTTGGTCTGGGTGGGTCGTGTGTTTTTTTTTCCTGGGGGGGCAACGGGGACCTCCCCGTTTTAAACAGGGTGAATTGAGAAGGAAGCCAAAAGGAAACCAACCATTTTGGGGGGTTGTGAGGCAAAGCCACCTCTGGATATTTCAAGGAAAGAATGTTGGGTTCAATCGGCAAGACGTTGGGTCTTACTGGGAATCCAGGAATTTCTTTCAGCACCCTTGTGGATTCATGAGGGAATGGCACAGTTTAGAGGTGCTCCTTCGCTTTTTCAGCTGTCGGTTTCCAGTTATCTCAAGTGGGGAATTCGCCGGGAAGGAAGTCATTCAGTATCGACTTCTTTAGTGGCGGCGATGTTTGCTTTGTGTATCAAATCAGTGTTCCTGGAGGTTCAAGTTTCCCAAGAACATGTTCATCGGTTGGTGCCAGGCACTAACAATGAACAACCTAAATGGGGATTGATGGACAAATTGGAGGTATGCGGGGGCATAGGGTTGGCTTGGTTTTGGTTGGTCTAGGGTGCCCAAGTTGAATTGAAGTCCTGTGCAGCGTAAATCGCAAGGAGTTGTCTTTGACAGCGAAAAGAGGAGGAAGACAGCGTCGGCCCGCCGGCCTCGTTTCTTGTCTTTGGCCACCCAGCCAGCTCAACGGTTTGGCTCAGTTTGGCCCTCGGAGCCCTACTGCATTGTTTCCCGGTGGTTGGCCAGGTTGACGGGAGCATCGTGATCTTGTTTCTGTTTGGAGAGGTCTACTTAGCACCCTCTGGAGTCTTCCAAACAGGATGTGCAAAGCTGTACCCCGGGATTGCACCCATGGAATTTCCACATTCGTTGTTTATGTGTTTTTTTCCCCCAGACAAGCCTTTTTTGTTGTAGGGACTACTTCCGGGTAAATTGCCAACCTGGCTCCTCCGTCTCCGAGTTATTTCTCTGTTTTTCCGTTCTCCGGGATATTTCCAGGAGACCCTCTGAAAACTAGGAGTTTCAGGTGTTTCAAATGCAGGAATCAAAAAGCAGGAGTGGCTTGCAAAAGGCAGGAGTGAACATCAAAAACTAGGAGTGGTTCTTGGGGGAAACAATTGGATTCAAGTTTTGTTGTCTTTTTTCGTTGTTTGGGCGCGCAATTGTGCAACTCTGTACACTATCCCAGCAATTATGCAACTCTGCACTGGAGTGGGTATTCCACTGATTTTACTACGCACACTCCGGAAACTCCGTCTTTTTTTGATTTGCGGGAGTTTGCGGGTTTTTGCTGGAGTTTGCGGGCTTTTTGCGGGTGTTTTGCGCTGAGTTTCAGGTGTGGTGCTTTCCGGTTTTGCCAATTTGTGGCTCAAAGGCAATAATTCCGAATTCAGAACAATTCTGAATTCTGAATCAATAATTCTGATTCAGGTGAACGATTCTGATTCAGGTGAATGATTCTGATTCAGAATATGTCTGAATTGGAGAGTTCCTTCCGTCAAGTACCGAATAATTGCGATTTCTAGGGGTTTCAGGTGTGCAAACCATTTCCAGAAGCGACAATCAATTTCTAGGAGTTTTACCTCAAAAACCAGGAGTTTGAAAACTCCGTGTTTTTTCACTGAGACCCTCAAAAAACTGGTAGTCTCCGGATTTTACGTGAAATTTCCATGATTTGGAAGATCCAGGAAGCGTGTAACTCTAGTCCCTGGGTGCAGCACCCATTTTGTAAGGCACGCCCATCGGAAGAATCGGAGCATCGGAGGCCACCAACGACAAGAGCAAGAACGTGAAGGATGCCGCGGTGGCCACCAGCAAGTGCATCATGGAGCAGCTCTGATGGCAATTGGCCGAGTGCGAAAGGTGGATACTGTGGATGGTGGCGAAATCCGTTTCGCACCGCTTTGGACAAACTGGTTGAAACAGGTTGAAACCATGGTTGAAACCAGAACGTTTGTTGGCATTTACCGGGGAATCGAATCATTCCAGGCTTTCGGGACGGTGGTGCAGGATTCTGTCCATCCACAGTATGACCGAGTCCGGGGATTCCTAAATACAGGAAACCATGGGATAGATGGTTTATGGGGGTCATTCCATCATTCCCTGCTGAGAATCAGCAAGAAAAGGGAGGTTCCAGTGACCTCCACCCTTTCCTGGCCCAAAACAACGAGGCTGTTTGTGCCCGCCCCCCAACCCCCCAAGACCGGAACTTACTAGGTGAGATCTTGGGCCTTTGGATTCTCCAGTTGTTTTTGTTGGTGGATTTGACTTTTTGAAAACTGACCAAACCGCGATTTACAACCCCCATGTTCACAGGACTCTTCCGTCATTTTTTCCGCTTTCCCAGTGTTTGTTCAGGCACCCCAGTTCTTTGCAGTTCACGTTCCATCCCTCCAGTCCGTCTTTTGGTTGCCCGCGGAAGGTTCATTTCTCGTGTTCCCTGCACGGACCGGCATGATCAGAACTCACTCGCCTGTCCCTACCCTCCATCTCACCGGGATTCTAGCTCACACGACAATATGTTGGCTCTGCGGGCATCGTCAGCTTTTCAAGGACACCTCCAGCGGGCTCCAATTCTGGGCGCAGGCGCAGTGCAGGCGCAACCAAATCATTACCCTCCTTCGCACTAACAGCTCCTGGCAGTCCCTCCAACTGGAAACTCATCCTCCAGGGTTTCCCTCCAGATGCTTCTCTTTGAGGAAGGTTGCCAGGCACCCTCCCTCCCGCAGGCTTCTCTTTGAGGAAGCTTGGCTTGCCCGCTTTCTGGGCTGCACAAACCAATCCGCGTATGGGAAACTCGGCTCAGGATGGTGTCCCCCTTTGCGGTGGAGCTTCTTTTGCCCTCCTTCCTCAGCGGGCTGGCGGTGAAGGCTAAGCCACCCCAGAAGGAGGCGAGTCACCGACAGAACTGGCCCCGAACCGCTCGAACTGATCCCGTGGTTGTTGGGTGGGGTTGGGTGTTCGGCCCTGTGTTTGAGGGTCCCAAACCTTTTAGATTTTTTGTTGCAAGGAGGCAAGGAGTTGAGTTTCCCCAGACAGCGTGCAGAATGGGAAATCAGGAGAAGGGCAGCGCGGGAGACGGCACACGGCAGCATGTGTCATGAAGTGCGAGTTCCCAAATGGAGGTCTACATATGAGCTACAATCAAAACCCGGGTAGATGAAGGTTAGTAAGGGGCAGTCCCAGTCGGAAATAGCTGCGGCCGCCTTCTTAATTCTCTGCAGGGTTCGCCATTTTTGTACCAGGTTTTGATTGTGACTCATATGGTGTTCATTGAGTATCATCCAGGATGCGGGGGGTCCGTGACTTTAGGAACTCCGATGTATGATCATGTGCCAGACAAGCATGTTTTCTTGGACAAATACCCTGCAAACAAATAGTGGTTGATTCCTTTCCGTTCTTTTTTGTTCACAAACATTCATGAGCTGCGGCACGGGTGGATACTCAGACATAACTTTTGACAAGTTTGGTAATTTGTTCTAGACACATCAGGGCGAACTCATTTGGAGGTGAAACAAGCTTACCAATGATGAAGGTTCCTTGCTTAGGAGATAAGAGTGGTTTGCCCGGATTTGCAAATTTCCTTGTATGAAGTATAGGGATCCCTGCCTATGTATCAAAACTCTTTCATAAGGACAAACCCGGTTGTTTGAGCATCCACTCATCAAGTGCTGGTGTCAACAGATTTTCTCTTGGTGCAGAATACCCCTCCAGAAAAGACTCCCTTGGATTAATGGGATGCCCATCCCCGTCCACAAGCTTCCACATAGGCTTTAGGAGCTGAGTTGGTGCATGGAAGTGGGCTTTGCGATACAATTTGATCATTTACATGATCAATTGTTGGATTTCGTCCCCCAAACAAGGGGCCTGGATACTTAGCCCACGTCGTTTTGAGATTGGACAGTGTCCTTGGAACTCGCGATCTGGAGAAAACCAAACCCCAACTGGCAGCATCCAACTGTTGGCCCGCCCTGCCTATTTCATAGCGAGCTCACCTGAAATTATAATGAGCTCACCATGACAAAGGTCCCTTGCTTGGGGATCCCTTAATTCAGGCTTTGGAATTATAGTAAAATTTGTTCAGGTTTTGGAGTTAACCCCGGCCTTTTGTAGAAGATAAATGGAAAACCCCCAACCCCTAAACCTCCACTCCCAACCACCAATTAGATTGAAGCTGATACTGTGGATGTACGAACTGCACTACTTCGACCCCATGGTTGAAGCCATTCTTAGTTGGTAGTTACAGGGTCTCTTAGGTGCCGAGGATTTCGCCTCCCTCCACCGGTTCCAAGGGGCTGTGGGTCAAAAACATGTACAAAAATGGCACCTTGATAAATGGAACCAAAGACTACAACCTGCGTAACCCCAGCTGTTTCTTTGAGCCACAACCAACTGTTGCCCCCTACCCCCGGCCCCCGGCAACCGGCGACCCGCCGACCCAAAGCGAGCGAAACCGAAGCCGGCGACCGAAACCAGCGGTTGGCAGGCTACGCTGCAGATCATCTCGGCGCTGGCGCAGAAGGCGCCCAGGGCGGTGGGCTATCTGCTGGTGCACCTGGTGAGCCCCGTGGCGGACCTCACCTGCGACATCAAGAAGGAGGTCGGGGTGGGTGGGGAGGGGAGGCTGCCAGCGGGAGGGGGGGGGGATGGGGGTGGGGGGGGGTTCTTAAAGTGTCCGGAAGAAAGTTGGCCATGGTAGTTGGAGAAGGCGGGGTCAATAGAGGGGTCTGGATTTTGTCCACTTGTTGTTGGTTCTGAGCAGCTTTTTGGGACCCTGTTAGGTGAGTTTCCTTTGGTGGGGTGATGTTTCATCAGGAAATGCAGCATTAGTTGGTTTAAAAGTCGGGTCACTATAAGACCGATCTAGACCTCCTCAAACGGGGTAAGGAGCGGGTGGTTTGGGTGAAAGGGAGCAACGGCAGAAGAGCCTGAAGACAGCTTTGTGTCGGTGCAAAATTGGGGGACTCGCCGGGGTGGACGACACTGAGCTGCGGTTTGGCTGTCCCGATCGAGGCTCAGCAGTAGGTTCCTTGCCGGGCCCCTTGTGTCTCTTTGTTGCCGGTGTTTTTGGAACATCAATCAACAGGAAGGGGATAGAGTCCCTTTCTCCCTGGTCACTCGGTAGGGTGGTGCGATTCAGTTTGCGACATTTAGGAAAGACCAAGCTAGTGCGAAAGACACTGCTGGACTTGTTGATGCTAATGGGTAGTCCAACGTTTTAACGTTGTACCATTTGGTAAAAGGTTGTGTCCGCTTTACCTTTCTACTAAACGGCAAAGCCGTACAACTGTAATCTCGCTGTACCGTGTGGGAGGCTGCCGCTCGCGGAAGCTTGAGTGTGGCCAATCTACTCAGCATGTTTCTCTATGTTCCAGTCACACACCACAGGTGTGATGGTATGCGAGCCAATTGAGTACTCTAGTAGCGTTAAATAGGTGGGATCACGTGCACAAGAGAAGCTTTTGGGAAACATACCATGAACTCATAATATTTGCACAGGTGTTCATGAGCTTACCTATATGGCTTGCAAGAGCAGTATTCCCCAGGACAAGAAATCATTGCTTGGACAAGGATCTCTCATAGTTCACTTGCAGCACCGCACCAATATCAGCAGAAACTGCCAATTCCAGAGTAGCGACCAACAAATGGTGGGTCGAGATTTAATTTGGGATTTTTTTTTTTGTTTTCCGTCCTGGCTACTAAAATGCTGTAATTTACAGCATTTTCTCGCGAAATGTACGTATTTTACGCGTCCGTCAACATCATCAGCATCGTTTTCAACATCCCCCGCATGTCCAGCCAACATCGCCAGCATCAGCAAATTGGCTTCCCGCATCTCATGGTAAAAGTGAGGATTCAATTAAAGGCGCAGGGGGATTGGGGGGGGCGGCAGTCCCCCCTTGAAGGGGGGCTGCCGCCCCCCCATGATGATCGAAAATTAGGGGCAAAGAATCTAAGAAGTAACGGTCGCATGATGATCGAAAAAGTGATGATTCAATTAGGGGCAAAAAGTCCAAAAATAGTGGGGGGGTTGGGGGGGTTGGGGGGGGCGCCAGCCCCCCCCCATGATGATTGCAAAAGTGATGATTCAATTAAAGGCGCGGGGGGGTTGGGGCGAGCGGCAGCCCCCCCCATGATGATCGAACAAGTGATGATTCAATCAAGGGCCAAAAGGCTAAAAAATAGCGGGGGGGTTGGGGGGTGCCGCCCCCCCCCCACGATGATTGAAAAAGTGATGATTCAATTAGGGCCAAAAAAATATAAAAAAAAGCAGCGGGGGGGGCATCAGTGCCTCTGCGCCATGGCCTCATGGTACAAGTGAGGGTTCAAATACGGGCAAACTAATCCCTGCAGATCGAAAAGTGATGATTCAATCAGGGGCAAAAAGTCTAAAAAATAGCGGGGGGGTTGGGGGGGGCTGCCCGCCCCCATGATGATCGAACAATTAGGGGCAAAGAATCTAAAAAGTAGCGGTCGCATGATGATCGAAAAAGTGATGATTCAAATAGGGGCAAAAAGTCCAAAAAATAGCGGGGGGGTTGGGGGGGGCTGCCCCCACGATGATTGAAAAAGTGATGATTCAATTAGGGCCAACAAAAATATAAAAAAGCAGCGGGGGGGTCATCAGTTCCTCTGCGGCAAGGCCTCATGGTACAAGTGAGGATTCAATCACGGGCAAACTAATCCCTGTAAAACGGCCGCCAAAGAATCTAAAAAGCAGCTGTCGCATGATGATCGAAAAAGTGATGATTCAATTAGGCGTGTATTTTAATCGAAAGGGGGGTGGCGGAGAGGAACTTGCGATGCTGAGGATGCAGGAAGCCAAGGCCAAAAACCAACTGGGAAAGCAGAGGATGCGAAAAGCCAAAGCCAGAAAGCCGCCAAAAGCCACAAAGCCAAAAAGCCAGCGGAACTGGCAATGCAGAGGATGCGAAAGAGAGGAACTGTGAATGCAGAGGATGCGAAATGAAAAGCCACAAAAGCCACAAAAACCCACGTAAAAGCCACAAAAGCCAAAAAGCCGAAAAGCCACCCACCCTGAAAAACAAAAATAATTCCTAAAAAAAGAACGAAAAACAAATCCTAAAAAAATGGCCCTCCACAAATGGTCCCTAACATCGCTTGCCCTGGAACCGGTGTTTTTTGTTGAATTTACACCAGTCGTGTTCATATCGAAATTCCCCATTTTGGAGCCTCATTTTGTGTTTCGTTTGTTCACAGACGAAGCGAGCAAGCAAGTGAGTGAGCGACTGGTGATTTCAAGGAACAGAAACGCCTGGCCCGCGTTCTGTTTTTGAAATCCTGCCTGCTCCAGCTTTTTCTTGTTGGAATCACATATTTTGAAATCACACCTGGGGGATCCCGCTGTTTTTTCTTTTGAATTCCCGCCAGGAGGGGGGGTTGCCGATGTTTTCCTTTTTCAACCACGCCTGGGCGTGATTTAAACAAAAAAGTAACACAACACACAACACAAAACACACACAACACACAACACACCAAACATACAACACACAACACACACACACAACACACAACACACAACACATTACCCACAACACACAACACACAACACACAACACACAGCGCACACACAGCACACAACACACAACACACAACACACAGCGCACAACACTCAGCACACACAGAGCACACAACACACACAGCACACAACACACAACACACCAAACACACAACACACAACACATTACACACAACACACAACACACAACACACTACACACAACACACAACACACAGCGCACACAGCGCACACAGCACACAACACACAACACACAACACACAACACACGACACAACACACAACACGCACACACAACACAACACCCACACACACACACACACAACACACAACACACACACAGCACACAACACGCAACACACAACAAGCACAACACACAACACACAACACACACACAGCACACACACACAACACACAACACACACAACACACACACACACACACACACACACGCAACACAGCCACACACGCAACACAGCCACACACACACAGCACACACACACACAACACACACACACACACACACCACACACACACACAACACACACACACAGATACCACACACACAACACACACACACAGCACACACCACACACACACAACACACACACACACAACACACCCACACAGACACACCACACACACACACAACACACACAACACACACACACAACACACACAACACAGACAACACACACAACACACACACACACACACAACACACACACACAAACTAGCGCAATCGGGAAAACTCTGCAATGCACCATTGTTTTTGCTCAGTCTACTCTCGATGTTTGTGTTTGTCTCATGGCAAATGGCGGAACTCACGTCAGGGCGATTTCTCACACAAAGTACCGAGGTGAAGACTGCAGCACTTGAGTGCATGACTGCCATTTGCAGCTGCACCGGGAACAAGGACGGATTTCGCGAGACTTCCTGGCGAGACTCAGCTTTTGGGGCTTGGGGGGTGTCCTAAGTTGGGGAATCCCTTATGGAAGGAAACCAAAGGACGCCACCCAATTTGCTGGGGATCCCTCGTCCAGACCGCTTGAAACGCAGCATGGCTGAGGCAATGTAGTAAAGTTGCTGAAGCGTTAATTTCAGCAAGTTTTGGCGACTCGACATGATGTCATGCCAGCTTCTTTGGACAACTGAGATGAAGAGCTATTGCTTGCCTTCGTAGCTTGATTTTGGCAACAAGGACCAAGCACCATCTGTTCCGCCGTTCACTTTCCCTGTGCGGCTGATGAGATCGCCGGCGCTTCATTAAGGCTTGTGCGTTGCTTCCTGTTCCCCTCGTTTGATGCGTTCAAGTTTGTGTTAAGGCGCGTGGGCCAAAGGTCCGCATCACCTTTTGGCCGCATGGGCCAGGGGACATGTAAGCAACCCTGACGGTTTTGTTTTCAAAGCTCTACACCAAGGGGTGCTTAGCCTTTTTGTTGATGGGCCAAAACCTTGTACCTTGCGTTTGTGGCGGATTCAGGCAACCATGCGTGGTGAAAAGGATACCCCTCTTGCACACTGTTTGCCGGTGTTCCTTCCGCACAAATGTGTTGGACCAACTGCCAAACATGTGTAATGTAGTAAGGTATAGCTAGGTTTGAAGCTCTTCAACTCTCAAATCATAATGTTGCCGGCTGGCAATGCGTTCTCCCTTTAGGTAGGACACCTCTCCCTTGATTGGTCTTCTTGAAAGCATATGCCGCAAATCCGAACATTCTTGCCGCCCTCCTCAGTTCCCTTCCTTTTGTCGGGTTTTCTACTACTGGCCTTCACTATATTGTTGTGGAAAATTGGTCATGCGCCTTCGAAATCCGCTTCAAGGTGATCATGTCGTCAGCTGTGGCTGAGAATCAACCACGACACGCTATCTCGGCAAGGAGCCCACATTCCCAAATCAGAATGCCCCCCCCCAAAACAACAAGCAGAAGAACAAAGATAATCTTCCGGGGGTCACTTTTGCGCGTTTCCAGGGCACATCTAAAGATACCACTAAATCTCGGCCAAAAGGCTGCCACGTCTATACTTCAACATCTACTTCAAATGTGTCTACTCCAACATATTGTGTTCTTCTTCGCGTGAACCGCCGCCAACGCGCCCACCGCTTTGGAGCTTTCCGACTCCGAGACGCGTCCCGCGTGGTCCGTCCGTCGTTCGGTCGGTCGGTCGGCTGAAAGCGAAATCGCAGGACCTGGAGCCCTTCCTGCCGGCCGTGGTGGACGCAGCCTCCTCCATCGACAAGACCCATGCCTGCGCCGCCTGGTAGGGACGAAGCAAGGGCCCCCCGGGCTGTTTTTTTTTTTTTTTTTTGCGTTCCTCCTTTTTTTAAGGGACCCTTCCCCGGAAAAAGAAAGAAAGAAACAGACATAGTTTCTGTTTTTTGGGGAAGCACCCGCAAAATGAGTGGAACCGTTGCAATGGCTGTCCAAGCTCTTTGATTCTTGAAGTCCATGACCATCCCTACCTACCCCCTTTAAAAGTCTTCTGGCCACGGCACATGTCAAGCCGCCCTTGGGTTTGAGATGGTCCAAGACATCACCCATTGTGGGTATATAAGGATCCCCCCCAATGTTTCAATGGTGTGCTGCATCGCTCCAAGCTGACTAATGAATAATCCCGCTCGCAGAAGACAGGTAACGACCTGCTAGCCGCGAGTGTTTCCAGACGCTAGCCCTCTTTTTAGGGGAGCCAAAAGGAGGTTGCGGGTAGCGTTGGGTGGTTGGGTCAACCCTGGGCCCTTTTTTTTGCCCTTGATGGCCTACCCGGTGTCTCTTGAAAACCCACCCAAAAAGAGAAAAGACACACCCATGCCGTTTTAACCGACGTTTTGCCGCTTTGGGGGTTGGAGGATTTGTGGCATCCAGACTGGGGCAGTGCACCCCATCCACCGCCGGTGCCGGCGCCGGATTTGACTTTCTAGCCCGAGGTGGAGAAGCTCGCGGGCTGCATCTTCGTGCAGAACGTGGAGGCGATTTTGTCACCTCTGGGACCGCTTGGCTGTGGGTCAAAACCAAGGGGATCCCTTCTTGAAATAGGTGCACCACCCATTTTAGTCTATTGAAATCGCTACGCGATCCGCCGACGCCAGTGGACAGTCCCCTATTAAGAAGCTGGGGCTGATCAATCTGGAGTCAGCACTGGCTCAAGGGACAATTGCCAGACCAGCGCTGCACAAAGTCAGCTCGCTGGCTCTTAACGCGTGGAAGGAGAACACAAGCAGCACCCTTCTGACGTCGGCTGCAGGGTGCCTCGAATTTGGGGCAGGGAAAAAGACGTTTTTTTGCCTAGGTCATATGGGGCTCTGAACAAGCAAAAAGAGACCAAACGACGCCCCTCTGACGTCGGCTGCAGGGTACCTCAAGTTTGGGGTTAGGAAAAAGACGTCTTTTTGCCTAGGTCACATGGGTCTCTTAACGCCTGGAAGGAGAACAAGCAACGCCCCTTTGACGTCGGCTGCAAAGTACTTTGAATTGTGGTACACGGGAGTCTTAACGCGTGGAAGGAGAACAAACAACGCCGCTCTGAGGTGCCTTAAATTTGGGGTAGGGAAAAAGACGTTGTTTTGCCTAGGTCACATGGGGCTCAAAACACGTGGAAGGAAAGGGTGCGTCAAATTTGGGGTCAGGAAAAAGATGTTTTTTGCCTCGGTGACACGCGGCTCTTAACGTTTTGTAAGTACAACAAGGCCTTCTTGGCACTTTTCTGTTTTTCATGTCCCAGATGCTGAGGATGCTGCAAATACAAGGGATGCAACCACACAACTTACAGGACAGACCCAATCTTGGCGCTCAAGATTTTAAGACTTTCAGACACGCAACGTTGACCAAACACAGAAAATACCAGAGATGTGGGGAATGCTGGGAACGCAGCCGGCTAGCCACAAAAAAGTGCAAAAACACCTGATTTTTTCGATATTTCCCAAAAGCAACCGTCAAAAACAGATACTAGCAACTCCCCTCAAATACCATAAGAATAGACTTCCAAAAGCACCACAATGCGGGGGATGTTTTCGGGAATTGCAAAAATCACCCATTTTTGCAAAATTCAACAGTTCCTCAAAGTATCACTGCACTTGGCCCCACCCAAACCCCTATCAGGCCAATTCCAACATCGCTTGAAACAGCAAAACACCACTAGTATGTGTGCAAAAAAAGAGAGACAAATTCATGGCAACAAGACAATCCTGATGATGCTGGGGATGCAGATCCTGCGCGTCCGGGGGAGCCCCCCCCCCCAGAGACCTAGGCGAAACGTTTTTTTTCTTCGCACGAAAGACCCAACAACACTGGGAAAAATACAGGGTTTTGGACACCCAGCACAGCATGCCCAAAAAATGGCAGTCCCAAAAGCCTTCGGCTTTGAGAAGAGATTCCGAAGGAAGACCAAGTTGCGGACTGCCATCTACACGCTCGACTGGCGTCGGCGGATTTCAGTGGGGATTGGGACGTTCCCTTGGGGTACGGGATTTTGACCCATGGCCGCTTTGAGACATTATGTTGCCGTTGATTCACTAGACAGGGCGGCTCAGAACCTCAACACAATACCACAATGGTCCTCTTCTCTTCCTTCCTACGCTCGTCAAAGGATTCAAGGAGCAACCCTGTGAATTGGCGCCTCTGCGCTTTTCTTTGTTGGACTAGAACCTACGTGAAGCAATGGAAAGCCGCACCTTGCTCTTGACCGGCTTCCAGCGAAATATTTGTTTGCCATGTTGACATGCTCGCATATACCGGCCAATTTGGAGCATCCCCTTCTGCATCATGCGATTTTGAGTGGATGTGGATGTCTCCAAAAAAAAGGGACCCTGTTGGTTGGGTCGTCTGAAACCCACCTGGGCACCAGCAACAGGGTCCCTTGACCCACCCCTTCAGGCGCCGGCTTTGGCGGTGACCATGCCGGTGCTGACCAGAGGTCTCAACGACAAGAACGAGGAGGTGAAACGCACCTGCTGTCAGATCGTGGACAACATGTGCACCTCGACTCCTCGACTTGCACGCTTGCGTGTCGATCATTTGGGACGAACGTGACTCCTCGAGTAGAAACGGACGTGTCGACCATTTGGGATGGGACCTAGATCACTCCTGGAAAATGTCTGACGCTTTCCTGTGTCACTGATAATGGCTGAAGTTGTTCTTGTCGTCCTTTCGCCATTGGGACGCGCATTTGTTTGCCTTGTTGTCTTTGTGTTGCTGGATTGTTTCCAGGATAGACTCAGTCCGAAACGACTGGGTGTGTCCTTTTAGGCGACCCCCCTCAAAATGGGTGTCTTCCTTTTGGTCCCACTTTAAAAACCAAGCAAAAAAGGGGTACCCACCAAAAAAAAGGCGCCCGTGTCAACCTTGTGGTTCCCAGTTGGATCCTCAAGCCGCGGACCGATTTTCGGCTCTCGAGGCAAGCTGGTGGAGGATCCCGCGGAGGCCTTTTGCCCAAAGGGCTTCGACCTGCGAACCTTTTGGTTTCCACCGCTTAAACTTGCTGGTTCTATAGTCAGGGAATGAGAAATGGAATGACCCCCCAAAAAACATCCCCGATTTGGTTTTCCTTTATTCGAGAATCCCCTTCCGGTTCATGCTCAGCACCCGGAACGGCCGTTCCCTACTGAGCACCAGCAAGGTCCGTTGGGCAAGTGAGAACACCTCCTAGTTCAAAGGAGTGGATGTTCGCACTATGTGTAAGACAAATCCAGTGGTTTTCTTTTTGTCGAAAGCTCAGACGCAACCCCAGAACGATGTTTCTCTGTTTGGGTTCGGCCCCTCACGCCCCTTGCTTTTTCTGTGGAGTTCACGGACATCCCACCGCAACAACTCGGGGTATTGCAAAGATTACGTGCTTGTGGCGCTGGTTACATCTTGTTTTCCGCGGACTTGCGGCAAGTGATTTGAGCATTTCCCGAACACCGACCCTCCGAGGGTCGCATCATTGACAGTGCCCTCAAACAAACAACTTGACCACGGGATTCCGCTCATTTTGACGTTTAACCCATCAAAAGAGGATGGCTGCACACCCTCGCGGGCAGGTGCTGCCTTTGATGCCCCGGCTGGAGCCTTTGGTGAAGTCCGCCGTGGAGAAGATGTCGGACCCCGAGGTGCTGGTTTGAGCGTCTGGTGCTGGGAAGCAAACTGAGTTGCGGGGGTTTGGGTTTTTAGGCTGTTTGGTGTTTGGTTGGGCTTGATTGCCATTATAATGACCACACAAAGGATTGACATGTGTGGTTCTTTGGTTTTCCCCTTCCAATACTCATGGAGGTGATTGGAGTTTTATGGAAGACGGCCGTTACTTCAACAAGTGGAAGGGCAACACAGCCCGGCATGTCCAACCAGGCGATGAAAGGCAACAGCTACGAGAAAGCCCTGGTTTGGCAACCAGGGCTTGATTCACGAGTCAGCATACCGTGGCTGTGTGAACTCCTGGCAGCGATCCAAGTGAAGCCCGAGAGAAACATTATGTTGTTCGTCACTTGCCTCCCAACTCCATTTCGCATATCTCCCAGCTCCTGTGCCTCCCTCACCCCAATCCCACCCCCACTACCCCACCTCCACACCCCCCCAACGTTTGTTCCCACCTCACCTCCCCACTCCCCCCCACTCCCCCACCCCCACCTCTGCCCGCCACGTCTGCCACCGCGCCCAGCTGCGCCAGGCCCGCAGCGTGGCGGAGAAGGCCTACAAGACGCTGCAGAAGGCGGCGGGCGAGGGCGCCAACACCCTGCAGCAGGTCTCCGTGGACGCGGCCAAGTCTCAGGTGGCCCAAGCCCTTGGCGACAAGCAGGGCTCCGGCGAGGTGGGGCTGGGGTGAGGTGGTGGGGGCTGTGGTGGGGTGGGGGGGGGGGGTGTGGGGTTGGGAGTGAGGGGGTGTTGGGGAGTGAGGGGGTGTTGGGGTCAATTGGGAGCCCGAGCAAAGGGTTTGGATGTACAGTATAGTTTGTTTTTTCCCCCCCGGTCGTCGGGCGCTTCGGCTTTCAGAATACATACCCAAGGACACCTGCAAAACGTAGCCCTTCATGCTTTGTTTGTTTCTGTGTTCCTTTGTTCCTTTGTTCCCTTGTTCCTTTGTTCCTTTGTTCCTTTGTTGCTTTGTTTTGCTTTGCTTTGCTTTGCTTTGCTTTCTTTCTTTGTTTCTTTCTTTCTCTTTTTACTGTTGATTCGTTGATGGTCATATGTTCATTGCATTCCTGCGGGCATCTCGCGCCAGGTCTTCGAAGCGGAGATGACCCACGTGGCCGCGCTGGCGGCCTGCGCGGCCAACATGCGCCCCGGCGAGTGACGCAGCGCGCGGCCTCAGCGATGTGGCGGGGTGGTCATCGCCCGGTAGAGCGGTAGAGGGGTGAGGGGGGGGTCCCTTCCGCAAACCCGAGGCGCGTCTTCGACGCGGCGGCCTGGAAGAAGGACGTGGGGTACCTGGCGCCCTTCGACTCCGTCACCGAGGCCTTGCGCGCCAAGCTGGAGATCGCCTCGAAGCCCAAGGAGGAGGCGCCCGACGGGTGGACAACGCGTGGCGGGCGGGTGGGACGTGGCCCAAGTGGAGCCCCCGGTTTTGGGGCTGGCCGTTGGTTGTTCCCTTGCACCAACCTGAAAAAGGGTCTGAAAACACACAAAGTGCAAGGGGAAGCGAGGGAAACCTAGGATTTTCCATGTGGTGGAGTATGGCTACTTGCAGCATGTTGGCCTCCACTGCCCATGGTTGTGGAAAGTTGGGTTTTAGGTTGCCACTCTCTATGATAAGGGAATCCCCGTCCGAGTGGCAGACTAGTCACGGGAATTGACCACTTTGGTATTATAGAAGCGTTTCTTGTCCACATGGCGCGGCACATAGTTGGGACACCCAGGGGTAGATGGAATAGGGGCCCTTGGAAAGCTGCATGTGAGGTGAAAGATAAAGGCTGGGCAGTTACGGTCGCTTGACCCGGGGTAGATTGAGGATAGCAAGGGAGAGGCCCAATCAGAAACTGGGGCGCCGCTCTTTAAACCATTTGCATTGGTTTGGGTAGACCTTTTTGGTACCAGGTTCTGCTCAACTGATGAAGGGGCGGGTTGTTGGCTTTTGTTTGGGGGAGGGAGGGCGGGTTGCAAACATTGTTGATGGCCTTGTTCTGTGTCAACTACAAATAGCAGCAACATGTTCGGCCTTTTGCACAGGCTTAGTCTGACCGATTTGTCTACTATGAACATGATTTTAGTTTCAAGTCCGTCAGCATGCCTCGTCTATGACCCATGCTAGGTTTTGCCTTTGCGTGCCCAAATGCACCAAAGTTGAGAGGTGGTCGCCCACTTAATTACCCTCTACAACAGCCAGGGGTTCAGATTACAGTACTTGTCGGTGTTCTCTGTTTTGTTTCTGTCCGTGCAACCCCATTCTTCAGACAACCCTTTGTTTGGTGGTTCAGGATTTGAAGCACAGGGTTTTCCTGGTTTCAGGTGCCCTCGCAGTCCCACCAAACCACCAATCCAAATCACCAAAAAGAGGCTGGGGCTCGGGCTGGCGGTTGGTTTCCCTTTGCACCAGCCTGAAAAGGATGGGCAACCACCCCTACACCACCAAACTACCAATCGCAGGGAGCCTGAATTCATCTGGCTGCGGGTCAAAACCAATGGTACCGTTTTGGGTTGGTGAATTCACCACCCATTTTAGAAGGTACGATTTGGTTTTTGACGCATGGCCATCTGATTTCGTCCTCTGCAGCTTTCGCAGGTGGAGGAGGAGGACACGGAGGGGGTGGACCTCTACAAGGGCGCCTTCTCGCTGGCCTACGGCACCCTCACGCTGCTGCGGGACGCCAAGATGCACCTTAAGCGGAACCGCCGGGGCCTCAGGGGCCTCGGGGCCTCGGGGCCTCGGGGACTCGCGCAAGGCGAAGGCCTTGGCTCCAACCACCCCCGTTTTTTGTCCAGAGGAAAAAAAGAAAAGCACTAAGCCATGCCAAGTCCAGAGGGTGAACCTTGGCAAAGCCAAAACCCAAAGAAAACTCAGCCCAGAGAAGCTAGCAAGTGAAAGAAAACCTTGATGTTCGTATGTAAAGTAACAGGTTGGGAGTTGAGCAAAGACCCTGACATTCATGCCCAGGAATTTGGCTGAGGGTTGGAAAAAGACTTTGATATTTGCGTCCCCCAAAACAGGTTGCTTTCTTCAGGGACACCCGGATGCAATATTCATGTTTGTTAGGCCCTTTGCCAAAACGACGAGCACCATCATTCTGGGCAAATGACAAGCACACCAGGGGTGAAACGATCTCTTCATGATGGAGGAATTCCATCTTCACGCGTGTTGCATGGTTTCCCACCGAGAGTGATCGAGCCCGTGTTCTTCAGGTAGTTTCCATTCAAATGTGAGCAACAGAAAGAAAAGCAAACAAAAACGCGCACTTTTTGCCACATGTGAGGCTTCTACGGCCTGCTGGGGCCCAATCAGTGCGGCAAGACCACGTGCCTCAGCACGTGTGGTATTTTTGTTGAACGGCAGGCCCCGAAAAGCTCACCCCGATGTGTTCTTTCTTCCGGATTTCTTTGTCCACATGCAAACAATGGCCGGCCGGAATGGCGGCTGGCATTCGGTTTCAAGCACTACCCATCCGTCCCCCCGCCAGCTTAGCCCAACTGGAGTTTTTGCGGTTTGCGTCAGTGGGCTTGAACTTCCATGCTTACAACCTGTTGCGCCACCGCATGGGTTTGCCGCACTTTCAAGACCTTTGCTTCTTCGTAGCGCAAAACCAGGTGCGGATGTGCCGTTGTGTTTGCGGCTAGGCGGCAGCATTACTATATATTGTCCCGCCTGAGTTGCACACTGACAAAACCGTTACTGGAAGCGTGCCAAACCCCCACTCCCTTTGACCCAACGCGTTGCATTCATACAAGCGTCTATCATATATATTCTGTACGTGCGCAGTATTCTAGACAACAGCATTCTCTTTCTCTGTTATCATCTCCTTTCTCTTAACTAATCTCAACAAATGAAAAGGAGATGATAAGAAAGGAAAGACACAATAAAAGCAAAGTAAAACAAGAAATGCAAGTAATAAAAGCATGACAGGATAATAACAAAGCCACAGGAAAGCCATTCTATCTTCTTAAGCCTCTATTTTCTGGATTTCTATTATGAAAGGATGATGATGGAAAGTTCTTAGGTCATGATGAAGGGAATTACATGGAAAGAAGAATGTGACCATCCTATCATCTGGATCTCTTTCATCTGTCTAGTATTTCATTATATTTTACAATCTTAATGTTGCATCTGGATACATCTTCCTTTGTCCCATTCAGAATTAATTTGTAGATTATAAAAAGTGTATTATTTGTAAGTCTTAGAATTTAGAAGTTACAATGTGAATAGAATGGAAATGGAAAGAGATGAATAATGCCATTCTTTTCATCTGGTGTCTTAAGATACCACAGTGTCCAATTAAACAGCTGTGTGTCTTTGCCAATGAATGCGAATGCATAACGTAGACGCGTATGATGTGTGTAGTGTATATGTTCCAGGTAGGTCCCCCCAACTCCCACGGTCATGGAACCCTCCGCCCCGAATTCGTCCTGGGTTTGAAGGACTCGGGTCATGCCGGAGGATGCTCGGGATGTTGGGGATGTTGAGGGGCTGGCCATTGGAGGGGGGCTTGCCATCATCCTGTGACCAGGAACATACGTCACACCCATACATGACATCGACCTATTCTACATGTACACACATGGATACACGCATACAGCAGACATCTGAAAGTTCACGGCCTGGCGCCTTCCGCATTCGCCCGCATTCGCCCGCCTCGCCCGTCGCCTTGCGCCGCGAGTTTGATGCGCGCCATCGCCAACGAGCAGCTGGAGGGCTTCCCGAAGCGCGACGAGCTGAAGAGCGTCTTCGTGGAGCACGAGATCGAGGACGAGGAGGTGGGTGTCCAGGACCCGAGACCCGCCGTTTTGGGGGGGGGGGGGGGCGGGGGCGGGGGGGCGGGGGTTGGATTTTTGGGCGTGGTGGGAGGGACGGAGGACGAGAGTTCTCAGTTTCCGAAGCGAGTTGTTCTGGACTTAAGAAGACTTGGGGGAAGGGTATTTTTGCTGGTAGGTGTGTGGTATTTGGTTGTTAGGGCAAGAAAGGACTTTGCGGCTTTCCAGTCAGGAAGTGGGCATTGATTGCCGCCAGTCAGTTAGGCCCCAACATAGTACAAGGCGTTTCGCCTAACCTTTGAGAGGCATAAATGCAGGGATGTGGCTCAAAATTGGATCGTGTGCTAACCAATTCGGCCACACTCCAGCTCTGCCGAACACCGGAAAGGGGCACAGCAGATGCGTTTTAGAAAGCAAGAGGCAGTACCAAGAAGGGCACTAAGGCATAGGGACCTGTGCCTTCGGCACACATCAAGATTAAACAATCTCGTGAATTGAAGCATCCCGAACTTTGTATTAAGTATAGGCAAAGTGGGGCGACCCGAGAGGGGTTGGGCTTGCGACGTTTCTCATGAGGATTCCTTGGGAGGTCTTATTCAAGGTGTGTCAAGAATTCTGACTTGCCTGGACAAACCGATTATGCATGTTTCCCAACAGGAAACCGCGGGGACAGGATATGTTGTTTGTGTTTCCAGAACTCCCATTTACCCCAGGTGTGCATGCAGACCAAAATCATATTTGGCTGTTTGAAGGTGAACACACCACAACGCATCGTTGATGCTCAAGTTGGGGGGGCTATTCACTACCCAAAGTGGCTCTGAATCAGTATGTGGCCCCTGCTAGCAGGGGTTTAGGACAAGCAGAGCCCCCAATGAAGTGTTTGTCAAAGGGCCCTCCCCGATCCCTTTTTTGTGTCGGATATCGCCCAGCGCCCAAATGGTCCAATGGGATCCAGTCAGGAGCAGTTTTGGTGAATTCACAAGAGTAGCACAAGAACAAAGAACCAAGACAGTTGTTGCTACAACTTATTGCCTGCCCAAAATAGCGTATTTTGGTCAGGGACAGGCAATAAGTTGTATGCAACAAGGCCCCTTGGCCCGGCACGGACGATGGGCCGATTGCTGCGAACTTCTTTTGCTGCGCATGCAAATGGGTGCATCGGTTTTTTTTGAGGACACCCTTTTTTGGGTTGGCTTAAAGGGCCAAGAGGGAACCACTCGTTTTTGGGGATTCCCCAATGTTTTTGTTGACACATATCTACACTTTTTGCCGGCTACAGGAATTCCCACAATTACCAAGGCCGGGCAAGAAGTTGTATGCAACAAGAACAACACGTCTTGCTGCGCATGCTAATGGGTGAGCCTTTTTGGGAGGATACCCTTTTTGGGTTGGTTTCAACAGGAAACCGCTCGTTTTGGGGATTCCCCTATGTTTTTTGACACATATCTATACTTTTTGGTTGCAGGGGGGAAATAAAAGGGAAAGAGGCCCAAAGGGCAACCACCATGGGAGCCCCCAAAAGAAACGCAGACTGGGCAGGACGACGGGTTCCCCATCCTGTCCGTGGACAAGCCGGGCTGGTGGTGGGTGGTCCACACCTGCAATGACATCTACAAGCTGGAGCCTCAGGTGAAGGAGGACACGGTGAAGGACAGATGGAGCAGTTTCTGCGCCTTTTGTCGAACGTAGCCTTTTCGGGTCGGTACAGGAAACCAACAGGAACTCAGTTGTTCAGTGGCACCCTTTGTCCTTTTTTTTTTTTGGTGGCTGCCCCACTAAAAATGGTCTTCCCCAAAAAGGGTTCCCTTTTTTTCCAGGGTCACTGAACAACTGAGGGAAACCAGCCATTTGGGGCGTTCCCCTGCAACAGCCTGTCCGATTTGATCACTGGCTCTTGGCCCTTGGCCTTTTTGCGACAAGTGAGGCTCCTTGACAGGGTTCGTCATGCCTACCCAACAATTTGTTGGCATGGTCCCAACTGGCAGCAACCAGGGTGTATTGGTTTATGACCTTTGGTGAATAATACATGGCGTTGGGTTCAGTTTGGTTCAATCACTTGCCAGTGCTATTTGGGTATGTGTTTCCTTTGAGGAAACCTTTCAGGTTGGTTTACAGGGAACTCAGGGAACCAACAGAAAGCCAAGCTGTTTTGGGGGTGCACGCCCATTGCTTGTTGTTCCCAAAAGGACACCTAGGGTCAGTCGACTACGGCTTCTCCAACTTGGGGATAGCACTGGTGTATACTGGTGTTCAAACATCTGTACCCTTGTGAAGCCCCAACCCCCCTCCCCCCCGGCTAGGAAAGACAGGAACCAAAAAGAAAAGAAAGAACAGAAGGAAGAGGAGCTCAACCGAAGCTTTGGACCAGCCAACTTTGGGTACATCAAACCTGCTGGCTTGGTGCGAGAGATGCAGGGAATGAGAAATGGAATGACCCCTAGAAACACCATCCAACTGGTAATTTCCTTTAAGGGAATCCCTTTCCGGTGCTCAGCAGGGAGTGAGGGAATGACCGGAATAAACCATCCATTTCCGATTTGGTTTCCCTTTTTTTGGGCACCAAATGGGTTCCTTCCAACCATCCTCTATGGTTGCCTTTAAGGGCACCAAAGCCTGGGTTCCTTTCCACATTCCCTGCATCTCTCGCACCGATCGCTCCGATCGCAAGGTGACCAACACATGGGTATGGGTCAAAATTAAACCACCAGAAACAAGAAGGTTTTGGTCCTTCTTTCCATTAACCAGGGTTCTATTTGGGGTAATTACCTATTTTTGACCAGCCACATCTCGACAGGACCTCATGAAGTCCATCGGCTTCGGCTACCCCGGGGGCCCCGACCGCGCGGCCAACCTGGAGCTGCCGGTGACCTCCTACTCCGGCGGCTGGAAGATGAAGATGCCCCGAGCTGAGTGAAAGATCCCTCCGTTGCTCGTGGAACGTGAGGACTTTGCAAAACTTTTCGGCGTTGGGGCTTGGACAAGTTTAAACTTTGAAGGTTGCTTTCAAGTTGGGGCTTGAAGATTTCAGAAGCTGTAAGCAGAATTCAGATGCAAAGCACAATATGCTGGGGTTCAAGCCACCATCACCACAACGAGGGTTAATACAACCACCATGATTTAAGGATTCTTATCATCCAAATTGGGTTGCCAATCTACAATAACTTCCATTTGCTTAAGAACATATGCTTATTGTTCCCTTTGATTTCAAAGGTCATCTATCACTACTGGACATACTTTCTCATTCTTTTCCAGAGGACTAAAGCAAATTGAAGATAGGTGAGATGAAAGCAAGCAGCACACGTAGGTTCCTTCGGCCCAGGCAGCTCTGTGCGGCGCAGCTCATGAACGCGGATGTGCTCATGTTGGATGAGCCCACGGGACATTTGGACGTGGACAACATCAAGTGGCTGGAGGACCGATGTGTTTAGAGGATTTTTTCGAGTCAAGGTCCAAAGGGGGGGGCCAAAGCACTGGAGTGATATTTTTGTGAGCATGAGTGACCATTCGCGGCCATGTGCTAGGCACTAGTTTAAGGGTCAAACAATTCCCTTGCCGTGACTCTAAATGTTTGATTCGTTTGGGTCTCTTTCTAGGTTTGCCTCGAAATGAGGAAATGGATCCCTCACATAATTGGTGTCCATTTGGCTTCTCATCCAAACTAAGAAGGAGGGGGTTCCTCCAAGAGCATGCTCGGTAGGTCTTTCCGGACGGTTCTAAAAGGACCCTCAAAGGGAGCAACTAAGGAGTCACGACGTTCAGAGCGCTTAATTCACCTGGAGCGGGGAGGCGAACATACTCAGGAACATGCTCCGAAGAATATGGGTCATGTAAAGGATTGTTCAGCAAACAAGACTTGGAGTGTGATTTGTGGACTTTACTATTATTGGCGAGGGATTTGCTGATATATGCTTCGTAGCTGTATCAAAGACGCATGAAGCTTTCCTCGGATACACTTGCTCTTGATGACAAGTATCATGAGTGCCTGTGGCAAAAGGGTTCCAATTCGGCCTCACAAGGAGCTTTTAAGCATGATTCTTTGGGGTGGGGGCTTTACTGGGGGTCCCTTGACAATCATTTGCAGATACCTTTCTTGGTGATCCCTGAGTTCCAAGTGTTTCATCCTTTTTTGCTCGAAGATCCATTACTTGTGGTGACATATTACAAATACCAGTGTTATATACATGTGTTTTTAAATATAACAATTGTGCAATAATCTGCTCAGAAGCATGCTATATTCTGGTTGAAGATAGCTGGCGCTGATTTCTCGACTTCCGACCATTTACCAGGGCCCTCCCCGAGGCCCGGAAGCAGAGGCTGGGGAAGGCTTAGCCGGGAAGACTTCGGTCTCCAAGACACTTTTGAGTTTTTTAGGGCTAGGCTGAACAATGGCACGTGAGCACATCGTTTTTAGGGGATGCAGAGCACTGGAACGTCAGCACATCTCATGTTCTGCATACCCCAGGTGTGTGCCATGCCTTGACTTAATTAAAGGGACATCTGCCTCCAAGCGCTGCTGGTTAGGACTGGCTGGTGTGCTGTTTAAAGAGAAATATCTGCGGCTGCCACTCCACTCGCTCCAAGCGCTAGGACTGGCTGGAGAGCTTCAGCGGGTCCATCATTTGCACCTCCCACTTCAGTCCCTTCTTGGACAAGATGTGCACCCACATCATTGACTTCCAGGAGCGAGCGATGAACCGAGTGAACCCCGTGGTTTGGTGACAAGGTGACAAAGTAGTCCTGCAGATGGCCGAATTTGGGGTCACACAATAGAGTTGTTCCGTACAACCAAGCGAGATCCCGGACGGCATTTGGAGGGGAACCGATGTCGATGCAGTGTGCCGGTCCTTCTTCCAAGCCTCTATCGACTCTTGACGGTAACAAGCAAACTGGTAGCCATCATGACACCAACCATCCACAGCGAGTCCCTGCTTTTGCCCCAGTCATGCATTGAATGTATGGTCGCCCACCAAAGCGAGAATCAAAGAATGGGGATCTGAAGATCGGTAGGAATGGGATGTTCCGAGTCAGAAACATAGGTAGAGGGGGGCCGCCCTTGTACTTCCTTTCCTAGCGGGCTTCTACTAGCCCCAAACCACTACCTTTAAGGGAAACTGCAGGTGTCTCATGGTACCACTGGTTTTTGAGGGTATTCATCCAACTGATCCAGCTGTTTTTGGGGGTAGTAATAAAGCAGTAAAAGCACACAGTTTTGCGGATGTGGTGTTTTCCCTATGGTCACACCCGCGTGCTCGATTTGATTTCCAAAGGACCGCAAGCTGAAGACCTTCAAGGGAGAGAAGGGCAAGTGCCTCACCCAGTTCGTGGAGAAGTACCCGGAGAAGAAGGCCTACTTCGAGATCAGCCATTTGGATGTCACGGAGTGCGGGGTGAAGATGTGGATGGGGGAAGGATGGGGATGGATGTATTTTGAGGGGAATGCGGAGTCCAAGGTGTTTTGTTCCTCACAAAAATGGAAGGTTTGGGTGTTGTCGAGGGCAAGGGCAGTATCCGGGATCCACTCGGAAGTCGAACCGGAAGAATGGTCGTAAAATTTGGATTGAAGGCAATGGACATTACGCTGAAATCAACCAGGAGAACCTGCAAGTAGTCCCATGACGTCCCATATCTTCGGCCTGAAAGAGAGCATTGGAGGAAACGCAAGTACTGCCAGGTCTCACTTGGTCATCCACTCAAGGCTTGTCCCTTCGCCTTCTCGCTTTCTTGGCCTGTATACACCAGCAGTTTAATTTCAAATTGTCCAAACAAAGAGATCAGCATGGGGATGGGTAAGTGAAATGTTTTCCACACCCTCCAACAAGCTGAATTTGCCAGACCGTCGACACGTTCCCCCCCCCCACCTCCCCCAAAAAAAGAACAAAGTACAGTAACAAGACACAAAACAAACACAAAACAATAGTAACAACGCAAAACAGACAACACAACTCAGCCAGCAGCACGACGCTACAAACAACACAACACAAACACGATAAAAACCAAAACACACACACAAAAACGAGCCTTCCCCTTGTCTCGTTTTGTCTCATTGGACCGTGTGATCCGAGGCAATGACATCATGAAGTTCACCTTCCCGGAGCCCGGAGCCTTGGAGGGCGTGAAGAGCCGCTCCAAGGTGATTCTGAGGATGAACTCCGTGAGCTTCACCTACCCCACCAAGGAGACAGCGAGACACGCAGGAAAAACACCAAGGGAAGCAATGGGGATAAAACGGGTGCTTGCCTTTTTGGCCTAGAAGTTGTGGGGGAGCCAAGGGAATTCTGAGTTGAATCCTGGTGTTTCGTTTTTTCCCAGGGACCAACTTCCTACGCTTGTGGCAAGTGACACGGTTTTTAGAGCGGCGGAAAACCCTTTTGGTTTTGTTTGTGGAAGTGAAAAGGATCAGGGACAAAAGGAGACAAACAAGTAACGAGCAGGAGAAACGATGGAACGCGGGCAAGGGTGAGGATGGAAAGAGGCAGGGAAAAGGAGAAAGAAAAGGAGGGAAGGGCTAAAAGCGACATGCTTACGTGGCTGGTTGCCCCGTAGAGTGGTCTTTTGGTAGGAGCAATTTTGAGTTGGAGTTGTTGCTTGGATAGAGGGGTTGTTAGGATGGTAGATCAGCTTATTCTGCTGCGAATGATTGGGCCTTTGCATCTAAAGAAAGGTAAGAACGCAGCTATAGGCCGGGTGTTTCTTGTTCGAGATCCAGTGCAACGTGGCATTTCAACAAGGTGTTTTGCAAGTGGAGCGGGGTGGAATGCGGTAGCCCGGTATTTGTTTTGTCCTCACTGATCCCATGTTCTGTCTGTTGTGGGGCAGAGTTAGGATAGAGTCATTTTGTCGGTGGCTGAAGTTGAAACAAATACGCAAAACATGGTACCGGGCCTAACTCTAATGGCTCTCATTTGGCAAACACCGTTGGGATTTGTGTTGTTTTCTCCCTCGTTGCTTAATTGTCTTTGCTTGTTTTGGGGAGGTCTTCAAACGTGGATTGCCTGTTTCGAACATCCCACCGGTTGTTATGTGTTGGCCACTGGTTCTTTGGAGGGTCGCTTGCAGTTCTTTCTTCCCATTGGTTGCCACATTTGTTGTTCGCTCGTCGTGTTTGTTTCTTCGTGGGGTTGTTTTAAAGACCGCGGGTTTTCATTTAGTTGTCAGTTTCTCCTTTTTGTCTTTTCTTGGTTGTGCTTGCTCATTCGTTGTACCGGTGTTCAGTTGTTCACTTGTTCTACATGCCCTCCATAAACCATCCAAGTGGTAGTTTCCTTTAAGGGAATCTCCAGCTTCATTCCATTTCTCATTCACTGCCTCTTTCGCACCGATCGCAAGTACTGCATCTTCATTCCATTTCTCATTCCCTGCATCTCTCGCACCAACAAACAAATTGGGTACCAACTCTAACAAGACGAGCCACCCCTTGGGCCCGCAAGTACTGCCTGCAGCACGCGTGCGCGTGGCCGCGCGAGGACAAGCCCACCATCATGGACGTGAGCCTCACGGTGAGCCAGGTGAGCCGCGTGGCGGTGATCGGCGCCAACGGCGCGGGCAAGTCCACCGCCATCAAGGCGCGGGCTCGGTAGCGAGGTCTCCCCGGAACTCGCGGAGGTCTCTCCCCCCAGACGTCCAGAGTCCATGGTTCGGACTTTCCCTTGGTTTGACATGTTATTTGTTTGGTCCACTCAAGGTCTCAGGGTGAGTTTCCACTCGTCGCCGGGGGTGGGTCGGGCAGTCTCACCGTTTCTCCCGGAGGGACGTGCAGAGGTCCAGGGGTCGGACTTTCCCCTTGGTTTGAAGCACCTGTTTGGTCAGCTTAAGGAGAATTTCCCTTGGAAGAGGTGATGTGTTAAGGGGGAATGTGCGGAGCCAACGTCCTTCTTGCTGCTTTTTGGAGGGGGGGGTTCCAGTCTTTGGGGGGTATCAAAGTTGTAAGTTCCCAGACCAGCGGTGCCTTATTGGAGTTTTTGGGGGGAAATGGGGGGAGGGATTGGGTGCGAGTCCTTGCAAGCTTCCATTTGCCCGCGTATGACCCAGACTGCCAGTGGTTTGTTCCTCTCTCTTATTTCTTTCTTTCTTTCTTTTTTTTTTTTTTTCTCTCTCTCTCTCTCTCTCTCTCTCTCTCTCTCCCTCCTTCTTCGATTTTTGGCAGGAAGATGTTTCCTTATGAGCTGTACGGATTAGTTTTTCTCGTTGGTGGGAGGGAGAGCATGAAAGTGGTACCCTGGGCTACAAAGTAAACCTCAATCAAACCTTTTGGTCCTAGGGGCCACGCTCAGGGAAGCGACTGTCGGGTTGTTGTTGTCGTTGTTGTGGTTTTTTACAGGAAGCAGCACAAGAAACTGCCTGACCCAGCCAGCAACTCACCGACCAACCCACAGACAAAACTCAGGGTTGCGGGACTTGTCTACCTTTTAATGTTCGCCACCTTCCTCTAGCTCCTTCGACTAGCCCAAGGGAAAGCAGGCACAGGCCCCTTTCATATTGGCTGTTTCGGCTAATGGTCTTGGGCGTGGTTACAGAAACCATCTTCGAAGCCGGTCTGGTCGAACTGGGTGTGACCACGTGTGTGTTTGTGTTTTTGCGGGTACCCTTAGGTACCATTGTCACCTTGTCTTAAGGGAGCAAAAAAAGACCCACAACCCAACCCAACCCAACCCAACGCAACCCAACCCAAAACTCAACCCAACCCAACCTACCCAACACCCAACCCAACCCAACCCAACCTACCCAAAACCCAACCCAACCCAACCCACCCAATTTTGGAACATGGCCATATCAGGTGCTGGTGGGTGAGCAGCTGCCCACGGAGGGTTCCATCTGGAAGGCGCAGGGCTTGCGGCTGGCCTATGTGGCGCAGCACGCCTTCCACCACTTGGAGAAGCACATGCAGGACACGCTTTGGGTTTAGGCTTCGTTTTGGTTTTTGCTTGGGTTTGGTTGGTTTTGGTTTTGGTTTGGTTTCGTTTTGGTTTGGTTGGCTTTGGGTTTAGGGTTTTGGTTCCCAGTGGTGAGTACAAGAATTCGCAGCTTTTGGACCATCCTGTGCCCTTTAATATGGGCGTGTTTTTGTTTGAGGGTGCCTCGTTGGTGTTGTTTCAAATAGCCAACTGAACCACTCCAAATGGTAATCCCCACTAACTAGGGGAAGAAAACTCCAGGACCGGTCTAGGAGCCATGTTTTTTGTGAATCTGAAAAGCTTTAGTAAATCTGGACAAGATTCAACCATATTTTTGTTGGTTGGCGGGGCGAACATGGGGTTAGTTTCCCGGCAGCCTTTACCGGTCTCTCATAGATGGGACCACGTTTGTTGGTTTGGCGACCCAGCCTTTTCTGTGGCGTTTCCAGGTTGTTTTCATGACCTCACGGTTTCATGGATGTCATCCTCTTGACCGACCTGAATCTTTTCTGTAGCACTTGGTCTGGAGAACTGAGGCCCCTGACAGAAAGGTCCTCACAGCCAGGCTTCCTTGCTTTTCCTCCCAGTTCCCATGGTCTCTGGGCAAAGAAGTTTCGCTTCAGCCATGCAGGTGTTTTTTTTTTGCTGCTGCTTTTTGGAGCAGCCATTCTTCGCTGTTGCTATTTGACAGGGCCATTTTGGGGTGATGACCACCACGTGCTTAGGTAGCTTGTTGGGTGGATGGCAAAGTTATAGTTGTTCAAGGGAAATATGACCACATCCTTTCTTTGCAGGACAACGATGTCGTTTGGTGCGGGGCCCAACAAGGGTGCCCAATGTAAAAAGATGGGAGATCAATGCTAATCTCCTAGAATTGAGCATTGGCCAAATATCATCACATCCTTACCCCCTGAATAGTATGGAAAAGGGTGGGGAAAAGCGGGTGGTACCCCCCAAACAAGGGACCCTCATACATTATCCTTATGTGGGTACAATGAAAATTCATGTATGGATCGATTTCTCAGTCGTGGGGGCCGGGATTTCATGACCATTCTGTGTGTCTCTTTATAGGGCCCCCTTTTCTCCCCCTGCAAAATCCTTGTGGTTTCCCCCTAAAACCCACACAAAAGGGACACTAAGAAAATGCTCGACACAGGAGACGCCCACCCAGTACATCATGTGGCGCTTCGCCGGGAACGACGACCGGGAGAGCTTGGAGTTCAAGACGGACGAGCCCCTTTGGTCCATGTTTCGAACTCCGGGCAGCCCTGCGAATTTCCCCGTGGTTTAAAAGGGCCCCTAGAAAAGGCGATGTTTAAACTTTGGCGAATTTGAAGCGAGCTTCCCTAGAAGGTGCATGTTTTGTTCGGGGAGAAAAAAATGAGGAGCCCTGCTTCCAGTGGGTGGCGATGTCCTTTTTGTTGTGGCATTTGTTGGTGGGTGATGTTTAAAGGGGAAAAGTCGAGGCCCAAAAAGGTTGACTTTTAATTTCCATGTCGTTTGGACGAGCGAGTAATACAAGGGGCTGCACAATCACAGGATATTAGGTTACGCTATTGACTTCGCTTGGTTTCAGAATTCCGATCTCCGATTCTAATTATTACAAACTTACAGTACCGTGTGGCGTTCGCCTGGCGAGTCCCATGTTTGGATCCATCATTTGTTTGCTGTGACTATGACCCCGATATTAATGCGTGTGTGCTTTGGCGCCTCACCCTAGTTGGTCCAATGCCCGTGCTTGGTTCACCATCTTTCGGTCATCCCCAAATTCTCCAAGCACCTCTCTTGTTCGGGTTACACATCGCCAGACTCGAGCGCACCCTTTGTTGGATGGATTGAAAGGGAAACCAAAAGAAAGCAGAGACGCGCCCGCATGTTTGGTTTGTTTCTAGAGCAAACCACGCGAAGGTATTGCGGGGTTGCTTTCAAGCGAAACCGCAGGAAAGCCACCAGAGGTTCCTCCAATTCGAGACAGCCGTTTGGGCGTCTCCAAAACAAGGGAACCCTTTCTTTGTTCGTATGGCCATGAATCGGGCACGCCCTCAAACATTGGTGGACATGAATCCTGAAAATGATGCCCACTAAAGCCATGATCCCGAAATAGATCCACACCCACCGAACCGTGACTCTAAAATGAACCATGAAACACCCGCCACCCCAGTCTTGCAAGTTAGGATCAGAAGGACCGCACCACCTTGTTCAGAAGAATTGCCTTTTGGGAACCCGCCCCGTTTGAGAGCTCCATGTATATCCCCCTTTCTAATGCGTATTATAAGTTTCACCTGTACAAGGGACACCAGAGAAACCGCCGTGTTTTTGTTTGGAGACAACCCAGTGGGTGTTCCACGGTCATGTTTTCGCCAGTACCAAGTCTGGTTTGCTATAAGCCATATGTTTCTCAAAATTGTCCATCCGCAAACAAGCTTGTGAAACTCCTGGGAATCAGTCAACCCAGACAATATTCCTCCCCGCAGCATTTGGGTATATGGTATGTGTCAGACCACTTTGAGAAATGCCATATTTCAAACAAGACACACACACACACACGCAACACACACACACACACACACGCACACCACACACGCAGACCAACCTTTTAAAGGTAGCCAACCTTTAAAGGGTACCCTCAAACAAAAGTGCAAACGCCCACTCCTCTTGGAGCCCCAGGCTGTCGGTGGACGAGGAGAAGGCCCGCGCCACCAAGTGGTGCATCGACAGCGTGACGGGCAGCGTGCGCCGCTGCACTGATCCCAAGGAGGACGGCCCTCGCTCGCTCCGCTGAGAGCTCCCCGTTTTAGGCGTGAGAGACAGGTTTCCCTTTATGGGCGTTGCTCAAGATACCACTTGTGCTTGCGTGCTTTTCCTTTTGTTTCCAAGCCAAAAGTGGGTCCACTATTTTGAGAACTCTCCCTCCTTAGTTCCAATGTTGGTCGGTTTAAAGCAGTTTTGTCTGGGGTTATTGTTTGGGCAGTTTCTGGAACTTAGAGTCAGAAACCTGAGTTTCCTTTGAACCGACCACTTGGGTGACTTGGACAATAGTCAGCAATTCGGGTCCCACTTCTTGGGACAAACCCATGCATTTCCGCTTTTATTTAGGTACCTTTGCAACATACCACAGCTCCATTTCATCGAGAGTACATACAAAGTCTACAGCCCATGTACTAGGTTTCTTTCCCCCTGGGATCCTCTTGGATGTTTTGAGTGCAACCTAAAGAACATCAGCCGCTTCCTTTGAGAAACTGCCCATGTGTCAATGGACTATGGTGGACCCAAAACATACAAGGAGCGAAGCTTTTGCTTGCCAAGTTTGACTCAGTTTCCCTGGAGCCCTGCTCGGCGGCATCCTTGGCAGCTGGGCCGGGGTGCACCAGAGCCTAAAGGAACCCAGCCAGGGTCCCGAAACCCAAGAAACACTGCTGGATGAGCATTTTTGCCTGGGGTGATACGAATTGCAGTCTCTTTGGATGGGTCTAGGAAAGCCTACTCCCCAAGTGAACATGGAGACCAAAAGGGGGTTCCCCGATGCGTTTGATTGGGTTCCATGTAAAATCAAGCAAAGAATGCGTTGAGCCCATTCACGCAACTGCACCGCGGCTTTTCCAATCCTTTTTCTCTTATGGAGCAGGGTTCCTTCTAAAATCAGCCAAGAAGCAACATGTGCTTTTCCTTTCCCCGAAAATCCACTGGTCTGTGGGCTGAGCGAAGGGCGGCTGTCGTTGAGGACGCGAAGAAGGCGAAGCAGGACGAGGCCGGCGCGGTGATCCCGGACGCCATTGTGAACCGCCGCCAGAAGAAGAAGGAGAAGACCTTCGAGTACGAGGAGCGAAAGCTTGGGGTTTGGATCACCGAAAAGATGTTTGATATTCGGGTAGACGGTAGACTCGGAAACTGAACAAGAACTGAGCTGAGGTGGTGGCAGTGGTGACTTCCAGATGTGTCATATAATTGAAAGAAAAATAACAACAACAGCGTAAGACAAAACATTCTATTCGGTGAAGTTTCCACAGAATATGATAAGCATGAAACCAAACTATACAAAATAGAAAACGTAACAGCTGAAATGAAGTACGTATGATTCAAGTGTTGGTCCAAATATGATATGTCCACTCATTAGACTCAAGAGTAATGTTGGAAGCAGTGAACGTAAACAAAGGCACTGAACTCATATGAACAAGACATGAGAGAACAAGTTATAGAAGGTACAATAATGGCCGATTAAACATATGAGAGTTGAACCCAATATAATACAAGTAGAAGAACAATCATTGTAAACAACCAACAGCATGCAAGATCGGGCATGCTTGTGGAACATTGGGTTTTAAGGGTGTGTTTCTATGGTACCAGGCGAATCCTCTCTACGGTGACAAGCACGGAAATAGATGTTTTGTGTTTTTCTGCAACCGTGAATCCACCCCTTTATGTGGCGAAGACTTGATGCATCGAACCAGGGACCCCCCCCCCTCCCCCCTCCAGGTGAAGTGGCAGTTCAAGAGCATGGACCAGAACACCTGGGTGGAGAAGGACGAAAATGCCAAGCCGACTGAGTCGTTTTGTGTGTTGCCACATGCGGAGGACGAGGCATATTATAATCGCACATTATGCTAACATATTATTGCATATTTTTGTGTTCTTGTTTCGTTAGTTTGGTTGGGGTGGACCCTGTGCAACCCCCGTGGGGATTTGGCTGTGTTCAAGCATGTCGTTTGACTGCCCCAGTAGTCTTTTGTTCGCTCGAATTGGATATTTGTGAATTTTGTATTCCCATATCCAGCTGATTTTTGGACTCCGCCACACCAAAAGGGTTCGCGCTGCGTTTTGAGACACAGCCGCTGAAACCATATCCACAGGTTGGCAATAAGGCCTGCTCAAGGCCTTGCTTGGAGGAAACCCAAGGGGAATTGGGTTCGGTCGGATGCTGTGATTTTTGAGTCCGGCCATAAATCAAATGTTTTCTTGAGCCCCCCTGACACTTTTCTGGTAAGCACACATGATTGAGGAACGTATTCAGTGCTCTGAAGTCACATGATGGGGAACCCCGAAATGGTGGTTTCCTTCTGGTGTCCCTTTCAAGCAACCCGAAGCCCCGAGAATCCATGGCTCCCTGCATTTCTCTAAACCTCACCCCACCAAAAGGCAGCTCACCTCAAACGTAGAGAACCCTGAAGAAGCACGCGCTTAATTATCCACGTGCCGAAAACTGGGTACCCCTGATCTCCCCCCTTCTTTTTTTTGGGGGGGGGGATTTTTGGTGGTTTTTTTTGGGGGGGTGGGGGGGGCATTTGGCAATTAGCCCGAGATGCGGAGGACATCTTGGTGAAGATGGGGTACCTGAAGCTGGTCCAGCGCGAGGACGAGCGCCAGGCCGCCATGGCGGGGCTGATGACCAAGCAGCTCACGCAGCCCGGGGTGGAGAAGCACCTCGATCCATCGATCCACGAGCCCAGCGGGGGATCCGATCGGGGAGGGGTGGTGGATTTGTTGTGGAACTGTCCCCAAAAAAAGCCAATCCTGGCAAGCCCAGGCCGCAAGAAGCATACTGAGACAAGAAGAAAGAACGGGAACACTGAGAATTGCTAAGAAACACCGCTTTGTAGAGAACACAACCTCACAAGAGGCTGCCACCACTTTGGGCTGGTAAACCAAAAGCTAGACCAGCCCCAAAGGTGTTTTGGGGACCAAAGGAAAACTGTTTTTTTCTTTTCGGGGGGGACACAGTATTTGGGTTCGCGTGAACGGAAGGCCCGGGACGGTTCCTGACTGGAATTCGAGCAATTTTGGGCAGCACGCTCTTGCCCCTATTTGGTGCGGGGAGGGGAAAGCTTGGTGGTCCCTGAAAAAGGAAACACTTGGCCATTTTGCAGGGACCACCAACCGAATCTGACAGAAGGTGGCTGCAAAACAGACCTGTGCTTCAGATTTGGATTGACTGCAGGCCGCTCCCACTAGGCCACAGGCAGATTCCCCAGCTGCGGGCTTTGCGTAAGGCACCTGTCAGACTTCGGGGTGGACCCAGAGAGCGCCTCCCACACCCAGATCAACCAGCTCAGCGGCGGCATGAAGGCCGCGCAGCTGTGAACATTTGATTGGAACACGCCGGGGTTGAGACAAGCCCTTGTTTTCTCCCGCGGTTTAAATCCGCCTCCTTCGAGGGATAGTTGAATGAGGGACCCCAGAGGAATCCCTTGTGGGATGCATTGGATCATTCGGGTGGATGTAGGGATCTACGGGGCCATCCTTCTGCCCGTTGTGTTTCTGCTGGGCCAATTGTTTATTTGGATCCATCATTTTGGGATGCATCTTATTTTGGGATGCATATCTTATTTTAGGGTTGTGTTTCTCTTGGGCCAGTTGAAGCAAGCAGATGGCGTCTTTTTCTGCGTCAGGTCAAGGTGGTGCTGGCCGCCGCGATGTGGCAGAACCCCCACGTGCTGATCCTGGACGAGCCCACCAACTACCTGGACCGCGAGGGTCTGGGCGCGCTGATCTTGGCCATCAAGGACCGTTCCCGTGGACCAAAACCCACGCCGAAACCACCAGTTGGGATAGATGTTGGGATGAAGGCAGCCCTATATGCAGGAGCTTGTCTATTGGATTTCAATCAAGTCTGTGCATTTTGTTGGAAACTGTGACCCTCCCAAGCTCAGTGTGTGTGTGTGTGTGTGTGTGTGTGTGTGTGTGTGTTTTTGTTGTTTGTTTTTCTCCTCAATGCTTTGAGTTTTGACCCGGAACTGTGAGCCCTCCACCCGAGTTTCTGCTCTTCAGTTTTGGGGGGGCCTGCGAGAAACAACTTGTTTTGCCGCAACAATTCAGGTTGGGAACGTGGCAATAGGGCGGTTGGGTGGCAAAGCCCCCTACCCACTGCATTTGTGTTTACCAGCCAAACCGACGTTGACAACGACCCTTTGTCAAACAACCTATATTGCCCGTTTTGGTGGTTTTAGCCTTCATGGCCATTCAAAGCGAGTGCCCCTTGGTAGGGATCATGGAACCGAAGTGGAAAGGCGATGCCTGTTCTGTCAAGGACTACAAGGGCGGCGTGCTCATCATCTCCCACAACAAGGCAATGGGGAAATCGGCCGATGTTGTCGTTGTTGTCGGGTTGGACACATGGTCAGATGGTAAGGTCGCCCTGAGTTGGAGGCTTGGATTGGGGGTTTGGTGGCTTAGAGGGTAAATGGGAAACCAGACGTACCCTGGTTTTGTCTTTGTGCTTTTCTATTCGTTTGAAGCGGAGGGTGTTCCTTGGACAGATGGGAGGTGGGACTTCTATGTTTGAACCAGTATTTACGAAAATGCCCTTTGCCTGCTTCAAGCATCCATTTTGCTGGCACCAAATTCTCAAGCAGAAATTCCCGGACGGGGTAATGCAGAGTGTGGGCTCCGGCAGAAGCAAATGGGCTCATCAGTGTGCAGAGGCCAGGGGGACTTTGGGGCAGTACAATTCCAAAGGTTTCTGCTGCCAGCTTGTTCCCTTTTGGTCGCCTCTTACTCCTTAATTCCGTTTGGACTTCTTTTGTGGACCATCCGGTTGCTTGCAACCCTCTTTGCTCACTTGTGTTTTCCTTGTCATTTCCTTCTGGTTTCCTTTTGGGACCATCTAAGATGGGTTGGGTGAACTGCAGAGGGCAGGGCCCAATAAATCAGACCTGGAGGGAAAGTCAATGAACACAATGCCCCGGGAGCAGCATCTTGTCATGGAAGGAAGTATAGTGACTATGCAAGCCAAGATGGACTATACTCACAGCCGCCCGTTGTTCACTCAAGAAATCGACATGTCCATCAACAACAGGGAAGCCGAACGATATCAACCAAGGCCAAAAGAGTCCAACATACATTAAAAGAAGCCACACAATTGACCAAGACAAGCGAGACAGGGAACCCCTCGCCAAAAAAACAACACAAAAAAGAAAAACACAAAAGACAGGCCCCCCGCCAAACAAGCCGAGCCTCTCGCCCTCAAAAAACGGGGAAAAAAGCAAAACGAGGAGTTCTGCGACAACGTGGCCACTGAGAAGTGGATCATGCAAGGCGGGCGCTTGCGCATCGAAGGCGAGTCCATCGACACTTCCAAGGACGCGGTTCTTTGAGATGCTGTGTTGTTCTTGTTTGGTGTTTTGTTGTTTGTTTGATTGTATTTGTTGTCTTTGCTTTTTGTGTTGTTTGTGTTGTTCTTGTTTGTTTGTTTGTTATGGTTGTTGTTGTTGTCTTTTTTTTTGGGGGGGAGGGGGGATGAGTCTGCGGTTAGTTTGTTGTTTTTTGTTGATACCGCACTTGCCGAGATGAGCAACAAAGTTGCTGTGTTCTGTTGCTTTGTGACGAAAGGGGGGGGGCACGCAAGCTTCTTATGATTTTTTTGGGATTGTGTTCTTTGGTGGTCTCTGTTGTTCGTCCCTCAATCAGTTTTAACTGTTGGGTTCTACCAGATGTTATTTCCTTCCAGCCTTATGGACGACCCTTGAGTTGTTGTATTTAGTTGTTTCCCTCTCTGCCTGCGCATGTCCCGAATCGTTGAGATATATTGTATATTACTTTGTGTTTTCCTTTGGGCATTTTGGCCTTGTTGAGTTCCAGATAGTGGTGTTTCTTTTGTTTTGTTGTTTTGGTCACTGATTGCAGCAGATGTGATTTTGAGTAAGCCTGCAGGACGACGGGAATGGAGCTCAGGGCCCCGACGAAGTCTTCGATGGCGCCGGCAACAAGATCGAGGCGGGAGTTGGAAGCTCCAAATATTCGGGTGTGAGTGAATTTTAACTATCGTTAGTTCGTGGAGGACATTGGGGGCGCACGCAAGTTCCCAGAAATTCGATGGCGAACCTGCTTTCCCAAATATCATGGTTAGGAAACAAGGAATTTTGCCGATGCCCATGATGAAGTATTCATTCAGGCGGGTGAAATATTTGGATTTGTCTGAAGGTGAGTGTTATTGTTGTTTTTCATTCATTTGATAAAACCATTGGCTTCCCACGTGTGTCTTTGTGTTTGTGTGTATGTTATTTGTTAGATTTGCTTGTGTTTACAATGTATTTGTTTGTTTGTCCGTCTGTCTCTCTGTGTGTCTGTGTCTCTGTCTCTGTGTCTCTGTGTTTCTTGCTCTCTATCTCTCTCGCTCTCTGTCTGTTTGCCTGTCTTTTTGTCTGTCGGCCTGCCTGCCTGTCAATGTCTGTCGCTCTGTCAGTCCGTTTGTCTGAATCTAACCTTCTTATTATTTCTATGTTGTTGTTGCTGTTCCTTCTTGACAACATTCAATCAGGCTTCAGCGTTGTTAGGTTTCCAAATGGAAGATGGGCAGAACAATCGGTTGTCATGGTTCGGTAGAGCAAGTTGTGGTTCATGAACAACACATTTTGAGACGATCCTCACATACATCGACTTGGGCCACACGTTGCTTCTTGCAAATCAAACACGGGTGAGAAAGCTTTAAACTGGATGGCGACTTTCGACCACGCATAAACAAAGACAATGCACGTCAATCCAAGAGAAGCGACAGTGCGAACTGATCCGGTAGGTTGGGTATGCTTCTTGTTTTCAGTATGTGTGTGTGCGTGTTTGCTTTTGACGAACAAGAGCATCCAAGTTTGGAAGAGGGTTTTCTCCAAACAAGGTGCCCGAAATCGTAAGGTTCTCTGCATCTGAATGGGACAATGGGCGTCCTAGCTTACAGATATGACAGCCTCAGCTTGCAGATGGGTCAAACGGCCCGCCAAAAACTGTTTGTTGTTTTGCCCCGTCTTGCTTCCTATGAACCAGGCCGCTAGGGTGGTCAAAGTCGATTTGTTTTCCTACCTACATGTGCTTTAACTTTGCTCCATGGCAAGCAATGAAGGCATTAATCAGAAAATCCTAAGCGTGGTCAAATAAGCAAGTTCCAGCTTGCACCAGAGGACAATCATGTGTGTGTAGCATCCTAGAACCCGTTTGTTAGGACCCCTAAACCGTTTAGGGTCACCCAAATTCATCACGCAAGGTGAAGAAGAGCGTCACCATGACTGAGAAGGACAAGAAGAAGTCCATCAAGGACCGATGGACTGCGGGACGATGTCCACACCAGACGGGTTTGAAGATTTGTTCATCCGTTATTTTGGATACCACGATTTTTTGTATTTGTTCATCTTTTTTTTTGGATGCCACGATTATTTGTGGTCATGTGCTGCAACACGGCTTGAACGACCAAGCGGATGCGCCTGTCCAGGCATGGCTGGCCAGAGTCAGTAGATGAAAGGAGGGTGCTTGTGGACGAAGCTAGCGATTTGGTCAACAATGGCACTCTGTTTGGCAGGATATCGAGAAGAAGATCAAGGACGGCAAGAAGAAGCAGACCTTGACAGACGAGGAGGTTTGGGAGTTGGAGGACAAGCTGAACGAGCTGAAGGAGAGTCTGAAGGGCAAGGAGTGAGAGAATTCCAAGCGGTAGGTCGGTTTTTCGGGACAAAGGCGGGGCACAGCTGAACGCAAGGCCACTCTATACATGACATTTGGACCCAGACGGTGGACTTCTTACGTTATCTTGTGAGTTTTTTTTTTGTCTCGGGCTTGCGTGCAGCTTATCAGACCACGCCTTGACAGGGACAGGGCCCAAGCTGGCGGTCCTACGGCGAATGGCCTAGGGCTCTCCACTTGGTCTTCGCTTGTTGGGTGCACCTTCCAAGGGCCCAGGAAGCGGAACGCCAGAACGCGATAAGTCGGATGGGACCAAGCAGGTCCCGCTGCGCGCCGGCCGAAAATGTGTCTGCAAGCCTGTTTTTCTCTCCGAAGGGCGCATAGTGTACGACTGGAGTTGTGGCAGAGAGCCAGTTAGAGGGCAGAAAGTTGCAGTTTGTCGCCCAAACTGGCTCCTTCAAAGGCCAAGTAGCGACAAGCTTTTGTTTTGGTTGGGAGCCCCAAACAGGGGCTTTGGTTTCTGTGTAGTTTCCCAACAACATAACCCCAAAAGGCTTACTCTCAGACAAGACAGGCTCACATGCAACACTGTGCTGAAACCTCATTCCGTTGCGTCCTTTGGAATGTATCCTCCCAACATGTGCCATGAACTCAGTGCAAGTTCCGGGACACCCGCTGTAGCCTGGCGCAGTGGATTTCCTACCTCTGTATTCCGTTTCTTTTTTTAGTCTCCATTGAAACTGCTGAAGCTGGAAGTTGAAGCTGGAGCCTAGAATGATGTAGAACAGGTCAATATTCCAAATGTTTGCAGCAAGGGATGACTCTGGACCCCTCGTGCTTGAACTTGCTTGGAACCTCGAGTCACCCCTTTGTTGGTTGCACCCTTTGGATCGCTTTGGCTTCGCTGCCTTTTCAAATTGACATGGACATCAATGACTGGCAGTCATAGCTGGGCATGTGTCAAAACCAGTTGGAGCCCGTTTGAGAACGGTGTTTCATGAAAGCCGCTGACATCCGTTCTGACACTTCCATTTACCCGAATAGCTGACTCCCTCCTTGCCTTTCTGTTTGTTTCAAGGCGCACCAGAATGAGTCCACCCATGTTTCAGGGCTTCCATATGCTGCCATAGGCAGGCGACTTCTTGGAAACGAGCCATCTTTTGTGCCCCTTTCACTTTCTTTTGTTCAGGAAGGTTGAAAAGCCGGAAGACCAGAAAGAAAGCGAAGGCCAGTTGAGGGGTCCGGTCCTCGGTCCTCGCCAGCTCGAGGCGGGAGCTCTTCGAGCAGTCCGGCCTTCCAGTACCTGAGCTGTCCTTCACCTGGCAGGCGAGGTCAAAAAACGAGATTGCATTTCCTATAAGAGACATCCGGATTTCATGGGCATACAATGGGGGTTGCGTATATTATACTCTATTGACCATGGGTAACTTTTTCCCCCGTTTGGGGAAAGTCATGCTTTTTGGTGGTGTCCCTGATGGTCATCCCATGTCACATATCTGCTAACATGGATGTTGAATGGTTGGGTGCCCTCTTGCAATTGGAATATGGTCCCAACAAAATTTGTTTTGCACGGAACAAGCAACATCAGAGTGGGCTCATGTTGCTTGGATTCGAGGGTCAATGTTTCAAGCTGGTATTGTTTGTTGCTTTAAGAAAATCATGGCGAACTATGGCACGTGTGTCCAGTATGCACGGTCTCTCCCTCTGATGCCAAGCGTCAGATCCAACGCTTAGATTGTTTTCAGGAGGGAAGGCAAGCAAGTCCTTCAAACGGGTTTACGTATCCACACGACGGTTGCGTTGTGCCTTGTAATCACTTTGCAAGAGACCAGGCCGCTGGCAATCACATGAGTTACCAGCTTCAAGTTTGCTTGGTGCCTGGAAAGTTCAACCGCACGATCAGATCAAGGCGCCTGTGCACATTCTTCATCAACCGCATGCAATGTTCAATCATATGCTGATTTGTTGCATCTGTCAGGGGCGACCCCAGCCAACCTGGTTGCACGTTGTCGCAACACCGGTTGTGCCTTTGTTGTGTTCAATGACTACGTGAAATACGAAGGTTTACCCAAGCCACCAACAGGCACCCTGTCCAAAGCCATTGGTTGTGCTCGACTGCCCACACCTCCTACACGTCCACGATGCTCGTTCATGGATTGATTGTCCTACCCCGGCACATCGATGTATGTCAATATACATCGATCCAGAGGGCGAGAGTGAGGGGCAGAGAGAGAGCGAGAAAAAGAGAGAATCAGAGACATACCGACAGACCCAGAGACCGACAAGTGACCGACAGACCGACAGAGACGGCGACAGAGACACCGGCAGAGAGAACGACAGAGACATCGACAGGCAGGCAGACAACCACACACCACACTAAAAAGACACTGACTCAGTCACATGTGCACGTAACTTATCACGAATTGCGGCACTTGTGACACATAGCCTTTCCCTGTGTGCAGCTCTGCGACCGGGACGGCGACGGCAGCCTGGCCTTCAATGAGTTCGCCATGGCAATGGCACTCGTGGCCAGGCTGGGGCACTCCGCTGGCGACAGACCGGTGCCCCGTTTTTGGGCTTGTTGAGAGCCAAATCAAAGCCACCCATTGTTCTGGTTCGTTATTTTCAGACCCAAAAGGACCCCCCGAAAGCCAGGGTCCTTTGCAAATAGCAGGAATCCCTGAATTGGTGGTTTGGGGGGAACTGAACCCCTGGTTCTTGTCGAGGGTAAATGGGAAACCACCACTGGAACACCTCCCAACCACCCAACCACATCACCAATTAGAGGAAAGCTGATTTGGGGTTTTAAAGGGACATGAAAGGGAAACATGGTCTCCATTTTGGGCTCCCCTTGCGGCGGAAGCTGAGTCCAAGTTGCCACCAACCAGGCGGCGCAGAGGCAAACCTCTGCCTTCCTCGCTGCCGCCGGCACTGCTGAGGCGAGGCATGTTGGCAGGGCGGACCCTGAAAAGTTTCAAGGTGGTTTAGAAGTTTACGATGCGTTTAGACAAGTTTGTTTCTCTCCTTGTTTGGGGCAGGCCAGAAAATGGAGTTGGGTGATCCCCAACCCACCTACCCCTACACGGGAGATCCCGCAACCAACGCTCGGATGGCGAAGGTGTGCCAACCTTTCTTCCATTAGCAGAAGCACCTATGGGAGGGTACATGGAAGTGATTTTCTTCTCTTAAAGACACCCCCTGTCAGGTACAAAGCTACTGCAAAGGAGGGTAAGCAAGCTGCCAGAAATCTGCCAGACACTACATTTATTCGCAAGAAGCGCACATGAAGCCATCCATCTTTGATAGAGAGACTATGCCAGTTTCTTTGGTTGCGCAAGTACCCTGCGTGCCTGGCCGCAGAACGCTGCTGGCGAAGGCCGCCATTCCGTTCTGGTAGCCAGCTCCCTTTGAGGGCCCGTTCCGCACGATGTGACCCTTTGAAGGGCAGGAACCTGAGGCCCTCGACAACCCGTGCAAGGCCCTTAGAGCCTTCTTAGACGGGCCTCCTGCAAACCAGGAAAGGTTAATAGGAGCTTCTTAGAACGGCTTGGAGCCTTATCATCGAAGAGTCAGAAACAATGAACACTCTGCAACATTGTGGAACCTCGGGAATTCGTTGCTCAAGGGAATGCCTTGCGAGGAAAAGGAGCTGTACAGAGCGGGCTCCAGCGAATATGCCAGGTTTGAAGGCGGCAGTCTTGTCGTCTCATCGGTCAGGAGCTTGACAAGACCAACTGTACAGTTGCGATTAGTGCAAGGAGGGGATCTGTATCAATCATTTCATTGTGCATACACAAATACATGATATAACATATATATATATATAAGTATTGCCTTGCTTGGATGCTGAATTGTCCATATAGGTCTGTTTTGGTGCAGGGGAGGGAATTCCCCTTTTGGTTGCCAGTTTGAAGTGAGACAATGTCTGTTGGGGAACTCATATGAATCTCCCACGAGAAGTCCTGCAGGAACCCTCTCTCAGATCCCAGTTCTTCATGGGGCCACGCGCATCAGAAGGCAAGGGTTCTTTGGGACTTGAAACTCCTTGGGACCGTTTTAGTGGGTCACCAGACTTTGGGTCAATCAGACCAGTGAGTCATTGAGCCCCAAGAACTTCACACAATAATTGGGACGGTCTGAGGAAGTGTGTATAAATATATATATATATATACACAACCCAGTGGATCCCAGTTACCAGCATAGTAACTCAACCCTTCGCACAATTTCCCCGGTTTTCGTAGAGGGTGTTTTTTGTTTTACCCACAAAACCCGGGGTAAAGCGGAAGTGGGGGCTGTGGTCTCCAGGTCGGTGCAAGCCTTCCGGCCGGCACCTTCCAAAATCTCGCTGGCGCCCGGCGAGCCTGGAGCCCCGGAGGGAGCCCCGATTGGTTTGACCTGAGAATAGCTCCCTTCGAAAACACTCGGCCAGTTCCAAGGGTTTGTGCTCTTTTTGAGTTTCTCTTCTTTTTTGGGGGGGGCGGGCAGCATGTCAAGTGCAAAATGTGGTGCTATGTTTTGGGGGGGAGAAGGTTGACTCCTTTTTGGTTGTTTCTTCGGAAGGAAGATGACGCAAGTGTTGGAAGCCACCTCCAGACAGGCTGCTCGGGATGGATGTCACTGGCTGCTGAGCCGCGTCAGGAAGTTGGGGACAATGCCATGAGCCATCATCGGACCAGCACGTTCTGATCTGTCTTTGGCGTAGGATGATCTCTGCCAGCCTTGTGTTCTTCTTTGTGCCGCAGGGCATATGTTGTTGTTGAATGGGGAACCTCAAAATGGCTGGTATTATATATATATATATATATATATGTTCCAGCAGAAGACACAAGGACCAGCTAAAACACGGACAAATGTGCACCCATACTTACTTGGAATGTTATTACGGTTAATGGTCCTTGATAGGCCCAAAGATGCGCTACGCCTTCCCTGGGACCCCTCAAACGTGGTTGGTGGACATGAGTCCCCTAAGCAATGATGTCCACCAAAGGCCCCCTGTTCGACAATAGAGAACTAGCTTTAAAGTGGTTGGTGGACAGGAATCCCCACTTAAATCCCAAACAATCCAGGCCCTGGAGAAAGATGTTGGTACATAGATTGTGTGGGAATGATGTCCACCAGAGGGTCTCCGCTAAAAGCACACACACATACCATACACAGATCCGTCAGGTTGGAGGGCTACCGCAAGATCTTCAATCGCTTGGAGCAGAACGGCCTCGCAGACACCGGCCAGGTGAAGGCTGGGAGTGGGAGGGTCCGAGGGTGCAACCTGTCGCGCCGGTTCCGGGTGGTTGGGGAACTGGTGGGTCTAAAGTATCCCAAAAGTTGACGTCTTGGGCTACAGCTCAACTTCCATTTGCTGAAATGAATCTGTGTTATTTTCCCTTGTTGGCTTTAAAGGGCATCCATGACTATTGGTTGTTAGTTTTTTTTCCAGAGGGCTTAAGCAAATGGAGGTCAAAGGGGGGGATGCTCTTGAATTTGCCTTGCTACTGCAAAACATGGGGCTGAAGTTGCCTTCTCAACCTATAGCAGGTTGAAGAAAAAAACAACAATCAAGTTTCGTTGCTTCCACCTGAAGCATGGCAACTCGAGGCAAGCTGTGAGGACGAGCCTCAACTTCGTACCAAAATCTAAGGACCAGGATCTTTGATTCCCTGCTCAGCACTTGGCAGTAATCCTTGTAGGACTGCAGCATCTCTTTTTTTATGTGTGTGTGAACAGGACCTTTGGCAGAGCAAGACGTTCACCAGCGTGAGCTGTGCAAGCGGCTCGACCCTCATACAATTCGGTGCCCAAACGTCTTTTTCGAACAGGAGTCATGCTCCCTTCCAACATTGTCCTATTTGTTTCACCCGAATATTCGTAGGCATGTTTTCCACCTCCACCTCCACCACCCTCCACCACCCTCCACCCCCCACCCTCCTCCACCCCCCCACCTCCACCTCCACCTCCACCTCCACTTGCACCTCCACCCCGGTCCGCCTCACTCACCACCTCCACCTCCAGCCCGACCTCCACCTCCACTTGCACCCTCCTCTGCCACCACCACCACCGCCACCACTGGGCTTTGTGCAGTGCAAGATTGGGTTTTGCATAGCGCGCGTGACGCACTGGGCTTGCACGCGGCGCCCCCCACTCCACACCCACCCCACACCTCCACCTCACCCACCGCCGCTGCTGCCGCCTCCGCCACCCCACCAACACCACCACCACCACCTCCACCACCACCATCACCATCACCACCACCGCCACCACCATCACCATCTCCACCACCTCCACCTCCTTCCACCTCCACCCCCCCTTCTCCGCCACCACCACCACCACCACACCCGCCACCACTACCACCACCACCACCACCGCCGCCGCCGCCGCCACCACCACCACCACCACCACCACCACCACCACCCCCTTTGTGTCACTTGCACTCGGAACCTTCGCGGAAGGAGTTGCTGGAGCAGTCCCAGCTGCCAGTATCAGAGTTGTCCTCCATGCCGCGGCGGACGCGGACCGACTTGGATAGAGTCAATGCGCTCAAAGACACTATGAACGAAGTTATTGAAAAGGATGTCTTGCTGATGATTCTCTTTTGTGGCACCCATTGTTGTGAGCACTTGTTCAATCCCTGGAGAGTTACTAAGGGTGTTGTCCTGCAATGTTAAAACCCTCTAGGCCCCGTGCCGAAATTGGGTAGCTGTTCTGAGGTCCTTGTTGGTGTTGCTTCCCAAGTTCCATTGATCGCCATTTGGCTCAAGACACAAATGAGGTTCAAGATCTGATGTGTGACTGCATACATACGTGATCGGCATTGAGAGCGAAAACACTTCGCTTGCGCTGCATTTGTCAGGACTACTGTTGTAACTATCATCCCTTCTCCCTTACAACGTTTACACGGGTTCGGCTATAACGGCATCGTCCGTATACACCTTTCTACGTGGTTGGTATTAAAGCTTGAGGGTTCGGTGCACAGCGTCCCACGGGACGTCACCTTGCCGTCTCTTGACAGGTTATCAGCCGTATCTACAAGCTCTACACTGGACTGGGAGACAGCTGGTTTATTGCGGGTACAGGGACAACAAAGGAACGATAACCTACACAGTACAATGGCGTCTTCGGCGAGCCCAAGTACTGCAACTTTTGGGAACAGCAGCTCAGAGGGATCCGATGGATTGATGGCTCTTCCTGCGGTGATGGATATGGTTGCAGATTCACAGGATGAACCTGGGAGCGGAGGTTCCGCGCTATTCAGCGACATCTCTACCCCCACAAGATCATGGAAGCAGATCGATGTTCATCAGGAGTCGAAGAAAAGAGAATCCCCACCGAGAAGATCATCATCTTCGCCTGCGACACCACGGACGTCGCAGAAGGGCGTGAGATCGACGCCGAAGGGTGGGAGGTCAAAATCACCCACCAGTGCAGATTTTCGCGCCGTGATCAAAGAGAAGAATAAGATGGAGGTGGAGATCGGGGAATATCAAAAGACACTTGATGAAATGTCGGCAGCAATGGCGAATCTTAACCAAGAGGACTATGGAAGCACCATCCGGATCCAGGAGCTGGAAAGACGATGCGAGATTGCTAGCAAGCAGTCGGGACATCTAGTGAGTCACCACCAACACCACATGGCTGAGACATGGCGCAAGTTTGAGGAAGAAGCCCAACAGATGCGCAAGGTGGAAATGAACGCATTTCAGTACGGGGAGAAGAAAGACATGGAGTCGAATATCATAATGCAACAGATGAGACAAGCTGAAGGAACTATCATGGAGCAGAAGCGGGAAATTGCATTGATGAAATCCTACATGGCAAGCGAGAAGTCGGCCGCGCAGGAATCAGCTATACGTGCAAACCAGATACACCGTGAGGCTTCACAACAGATATCAGTTTATCAGCAACAGATCAGAGGCATAGAATCTTCTACATCTATCGAGAAGTTCAATGAGGAGGAGATGGTCCAAAGTCTGAAATCACAGTTGGAGCATGCACTCGTCAAGCGCCCCGAGACATACTCTTTGGAGGACTCCAGGGAACAGCTGATGGCGAGGCTGAATGACGTTACGGTATTTGCGGAACAGGAATCGAAGAGAGCAGATTGCTTGCTTCGCGAAAAAGAAGAGATCGTCAATCAGTATGAGTCCGACGTGTCGATGAAGGACCAGATGATTGCTGTCGAAGGTGGTCATCGTCAGGATGCGATCTTGGAGTTAGCCCAGGTCAAAGAAGAGAAACAAGAGGAACGGTGCACGATGGACGAGAAGTCGAAGGAGGCTGAGTACTGGAGATTGACAGCTAAGGGGACGTACGATGAGTACCTCGAGGAGATGCATGAGCTTCAGGGACAACTGAAGGAAAGAGAGGCGACGCTCAAGCAAGAAGAGAGTTTTGTACGTCAACTCGGTGCTGACAACGAGGAACTACGTGCACACAAGAAGCTGGAGACACAGGAAGCCTCCAGCAGCAAAGATGGACATCGTGAACGAGCAGTAGTGAAACGCGCTGAGGGAGGAACCCAGGCTAATTCAAATAGGATAGACAAGAAGGTGGCTGGGTCAGTCCCGTCATCGTCTTCAAATCAAATCCCTAATTCGTCGCTGATGCCAGGTTCGATCCTCTTTCCGTCTTTCGGCGATCCAATGATCGATGCACACCTATCCCAGATGCAAGGGGTTGTTGGGCATGTCCCACAATCCACTACTACGACTGGTGGTGGTGATGGGGGGGGAAACAACGGTACTACGCCCCCATTGGATTACGGTGGATTCCCGCCCAATGGGAATGGGCAGGGAGCGGGTCGACGTCTGTTGAGCCTCGCTGGTGGCGGAGGAGGACCTCCGGATGATCCACCCGATGATGAGGATGAGGATGACGACGACGAAGGAGATGAAGAAGACGAGGAAGAAGACGAGGAAGAAGACGATCGGACACGGAGGAGACGAAGGAGATCGAGAGATAACCGAGAGATCAAGAATGATCGACCGAGAATCTCGAGGAAAGAGGCCGAGAGAGTATCTATTCCGGCCTGGCCAAAGATCCATCAACTTGACACCTGGAAAATGCAACTGCTGATGAATGTTCTGAGCGCATGTGCAGATCCAGATACCGATGCATGGACGAAATGGCTGGAGCAGGCTCTTGGGTTGAACCCAGACCTGGATTTGCTTAGCGATTCAGGTGGCGACAGATTTGCTACGATAGATATTAAGATGGCTATGGGCATGCAGAACATGCTGAAACAAGCACCTGACGAAGCCAAGGACGTATACCTCGATGCTACACGACACTCTGAACTACGACATCAACAAGGGGTGATCGTGAAGGGACGAGAGTTGGTGGCATTAGTTATGCAATCATTCAGAACTTCCGATAGAACGGACCTTGTCTACCACATCGAGCACTTATTCAACCTTGACTTTCCTGGCGACAAGAACTTGGTCATGTTCAGGAACAAATGGTATGATTTGTTGCTGAAGATGAGGAGCGAGGACAGACCCAGTAAGCTGGCTCTCAGAGACATCCTTTACAGGAAGATCAAAGGGAGCAAGAAGATGGAGTTCGGCCTCAACGCCTACCATAGACTA